TCCATAATCAAATTGCTACTGTTTTGCCATAACCAATGCCCTTGGACAGACAGGACTGATGATGAAGCTGATTCATGGTATTTTTTTTGCTGTAAATAAATCTTTACTAAATTGAGGTCAATGACAAACCAGCTCTTGCCATCACTGGAGGCAGGACCGTGCCCTTTCGAGCTGCCTTCGTGCACAAGCACAGATCTGTTTCAGTTCGGTTCGTGCTGGTTTTCTTCCTTTTTTTTCCTGTTTTACCTTTGCAGTTTTCTGGAAATGGGAGTAGAAACCACTGGCATGTTTTAGCATGAATCACTGCGTGAGAAATACTTTCCATTGTCGAAATGCAGCTGAACAATCATTACCTTGAATAGGTAGAAAAGACACTCAGTGTCTTCTGGCCTCCAGCTCCTGTCTGCAGGGAGGGATCTCACTGCTCGGTTAGAACAAAAAAATTGCGTAAATTGAAAAGGCAGCACCATCCCTGATGGTTTAGTTTAGTTATAGAAAAGTAAATGCAGATGAAAGGGTTCAACCGTTCTTTTGAATATGAGAATTGACTCGTGAGGCGAAGCCAGTGATAAATCTGTTACATTTTCTGGGAGCATTCAGATAAGACCTTCAAGGAATGGTATGAAAATTTCAGATAAGAGAGAGTTTGGGGCATAATTTCTGCTTTGAGAGAGTTCCTTTTTTACATTCCACGCGAAGTTGGAAAGTTTGCACTCTGAGACTTGTTTTAGATCAAACCCTGAGCAACAGTCAGTCAGGCTGAACAGAATTCAGGCATGTTTGTGCAAAGATTTCTTGTGCAGCTTCTGCTTCTCGACCAGTGAGAGAAGGGTAGGGTGAACCCCCTTTTTTCATTTTTTCATTTTTTCTCTTTTTTTCCCCCCCTCATATCTAGAGCATAAAAAAGCTTCTGGTTTCACTGGTAACGTTAAACAAACTCAGATTGACCACCATCATCCTGTTGCTAACATGAGCCTTGTTTCTTGTCTGACTAAACTCCCAACAGCAAACACCATCTGCCTGTTGAAGGAGGAGTCACCACCCAGACAGTGTCTCACTCGTCAGGGTTGGAAAACATCAAGTCTGCTACAAAAACTACATAGCAATACCCTTAGAAACCTCTAACTCCACGTTCTGTGCACTTGGGTTTTTTTTTTTTGAAGTTCTTCCTCTGAGATTGAATAAATTTTCCTTAACGAAACAGAAGAATTTTCAAACAAAGACCTTTTGTCCAGATCCAAATTCAGGTCAAGTGGCACTACGAGAAAATTGTACTGAATTCCTTGGAACAGTAGATGGTCTTGGGAAATTATCTTTCAGCTCAGAACATGTAAATTCAGATTGTCATAGAGCAACATAAATAATAGTGCTGCGTCAGTTTACCCTTGCAGGAGTAATGAGTATCATTTGCTTCTGTAAAATGGTTCTTAAGTGCTATTTCTCCACAATATCGATAGGAACTTTGGAAAAGCTGTGACTTTTTGTTCAGGCATTTAAATTCCAGCAAGTTCTAAAAGACACGTCTTTGCTTTGGATTTTATTCATATAAACAGAAACAGGCACTTTAAAACATGTTATTTTATCTGAAATAATAGTTTTGTACTCTCTGGTTTAGTGAAGTACTATTATTTTGGAAGTTAACATTTTCCACCCTGCTCCAGAATGATTTTGAAATATTCTGAGCAGATAAAAACAAATGAGTAGCACACAAAAGAGCTAAGTTAGCTACTTTAAAATATGTTTTGTAGAATTCCAGCAGGGAAAGGTCATGGAATGGTTTGGGTTTGGAGGGACCTTAATGCTCCAACCCCCTGCCAGGGACAGGGATGCCCCTCAGGTTGCCCAGGGCCCCATCCATCCAGTCTGGCTTTGGAGGGGGGTATTTCTGCCTGCCTGGTGTCAGATCCATAGGTCTGGAAAGCCACGGCCTGTGGAGAGGCAAGGAGCAGTGGGATTCCTGCAGGAGAGCTGTCCAGCACCGCTCCTGGTGCCTTCTGTTCCCTCCAGCATCTTCCAAGGGAGCGGCGCCTGCTGAGCTGCCTCGGAGCCCTCCTGGGAGATCTGGGCTATGATTGGAATGTGGGCGATTTGGAGCCTCATGGGAGAAGGAGAACCTTCGTCTGAGCACCTGAAAAGCAGCTGCTCCTTGACAGCCCTGCTCCTGATCTGGGGAGTGCAGAGTCTGCTCGGCTTGATTTTCAGGCTTTGGGGGTTTGATATTTTGCAGGCATTTTATGGTAGGTCCATAAATGCAAGGGTTTTTATGTAGGTCCTTGAAAGAGCAACAGCCTCTGTGGGCATCTGTGATTCACGATGCTGGAGCAAATAAAGGCTTTAGTACAAGCCCACTGTCAGTTGTCAGTGGGAATGTGCCTTCATCTTGGTGTCTCTGAGCCAAAATTTCCAGCAGAAACTGAAGTGTTTGTGTTTGGCCATTAAAGCAGAGAGCAGAATTACAAAGGACTGCATGGAAATAGGGAATTGATATGTGCAATTATGAAACACTTTCCTGAGGTGTCCATGGCAACTAAGAGTCATGACTTTATGGGGTAACAAAAATCCCAAGAGAGATCTCAATCGAAATATTGACTTTATGGCAAACTGTAATTTCTCTGCCCTCTGCTCACCTGACCTTTTCATATTCCACAGGATATAAATTACTGACCTCTTCCTTTCCATTAGAAGATAAGGACCTTATCACCTTTCCTCTCTTCTGCCATCCTTGTCACTCCACAGGCAGTCATCTTTGTTCTCAGGGGGTCTAATTGATACATATCTAATTAAAGGCAAAGCAGTTTTGCTCAACTTGCACTCAGCTTTGAAGTGTGTTGCTCTGATTTCAGACCTGAAGAACAGCTTCATGTGCCTGAGAGTTATTCTTTTTCCCAACTGTATTAGTTGATCAGATCAAATATACAAGCTCTGTGCACAAACTTTGCTTTGCCTGTGCACCAGTGCATTCATTTCTTGTTGGTGAGAAAGGGATGGATCTTGTTAAAGGGTTTGTGTGAGCTCTGGAGGTTAGGGCAAGATGTTCAAATATGATGAGATAGGGAGGGGAAAAAAAGGATTCAGTAGAGACAAAGGTAGATAACTGGATTAGCAAGTAAAACAGTGTTAAGGTTTAATGATCTGCAAGATGCAGGTTCTGAATTTCTTACCTTCTTGTGACCTGGCTGCTGCAGAGGAATAAACTGGAGTTATATGGAATTGAACAACTTCTGTAGGGCACCCTCCATCATCCTATTCCTTGTCACTGTGTTTATGAAGACTGTCCTGTTGCCAGTTGCTGATAAAGTCTGTGATGGTTTGTTGTGATTTTTTTTCCAAGCTGTTTGCTCTTTTGGTTTGGGCTTTTCCAAGTATGTGATAGGATTGCTGTTTATAATATGCAATAACCCCAAGAATCTCATAGAGTTTTCTGAGGTCAGACTGTCACTGTGCTTTTGTTTGCTTATGCTGAGCTAGTCCTTGGCAGCCTGGGTGGTAGCTCAGCCAGTCTCTAAATTAACAGGTTGTTCTCTGTATTGGAAGGGATTGATGTGACTGAAGTTATTGGCATGGATGTGCCCAAACAAATTGTTCTGGGGGAGAGGGGGATCCAAGTGGAGAAAACGGGATAGGTCCAAAGACAGTTTGTTATAAGAACGTGCAAAGGACTCGAGAATAAAATTTCGGACCAGAAAATGAATGGGGAAGTACAGTTTTATTCTAAATTATAAATGATTCTCTGGACTTAATAAGGTAATGGGAGGACCTCAAAAGTAGTTTTGCCTTTAAACTACCTTGTATTTGCAGGTAGCATTGCATCACTGCATCAAACTAATGCTTCTCTCTTGGTGTTTTGCTCTGCAGTACAGGATTGGACAGCTGTACATGATCAGCAAGCACAGCCATGAGCAGAGTGACCGAGGGGAGGGGGTGGAAGTGGTGCAGAACGAGCCCTTCGAAGACCCCAACCACGGCAATGGGCAGCTGACAGAAAAACGTGTCTATCTCAACAGGCAAGTGCAATAAAACTCTTTGTCCAGCTCTTTGTTGCAAATAAAAATTTGCCAGGAATGCCCCTTGCAGGGAAGAGCCTTTCTGGTTGAGTGGAACGTGCTCCCAGGAATCCCTGCTGCTTCCTGCTGGAAGATGGGATAGATCAGCAGTTTGAAAGAGAGGGATTGTTGCTGTTTCTTCTAGAGAATCTCTTCCAAGAGGAGGAATTACAACGTGAAGTTAAGGATGTACTGAAAATCAGAACTTCTGTTTTCTTTTTACGCTTAACAGTCATTTTGTCTTCTAAGATTGTTGGGGAGGAGGAGCCAAAATTAAAAGCCAAACCCAACAAACACCCCACCCCCCAAGAAAACCAAAACCAAACCATTAAAATATTTTTTTAAGTTTTTCTCACCTCAGAATCGTGTCACAAAGCCAGCATTTTTGGTGATGGAGTTTGCCTCGGCAAAGTTAATTTGCACTGTAAATGACCATTAGGCTTGCACAATAACAACCTTCTGGACCATTAGGCTTAAAGACATGGGGGGAAATTTGCTTTTCTTCCCCTGAAGTTCCTTTATTTCTTAGACTTGTCTAAGATGATGCTGCTGCTGAGGCATCGATTCCTCCACACTCCCAGGCCAGAGATGTTTATTTATAGATTTGTGTCCTATGAAATATATTGCCCAATTCCCTTTTTCACTACTGCTGATCTGATTGAATATCCCTGCTTTTTTTTTTTGAAGTCCTTCTTCTCCCCTGGGCCTGTTTCATTTTATTAAACTTGTGCTCTGCAGCGTTTTTGAAGTGGGCATAGAAACACTCCAGCTGTTGTTTCTACATTGCAGGTTACCCCTGCACTGCACACCTGACTTATCTGCCCTTAACTCAGCCAAATCCAATCACCAGTGATGCTGCACACAGACACACCTAACACAGGAGCCCAGTGATGTGTATCTTACCAACATTTCATATTGTTGTGATTGTAACTGTTCTCTCACAGGGTAGGTACAGGACTTGAGAAAAATCAGTAATTGTGTTCCCATTGTAGGGCTCCCAGAACTTGTGTGGGTTTTTTAAAAAATGTTTCTGGATATTTCTTTCCCGCATGTTAAGAAGCAATAAGGCTTTAAGCACTGAAGAGCATTGCAGGATTGCCACTTTAGGGTGATTCAGAAAGACCACAGGGACCTAAAAGACACGAACAAACCATGCTTGGGAAGTGGTTCCTGGTAGTGCAGGTGGTGAAACAAAGGATCTTGCAGCCAAAGATTGGGTACAAACACTGGCAAAGAAGATCTGAGTGCCCACTCAAACCTTCTCAGAACATCCACAGCCTAGAGCTGTTGTGGATGTGTGAAGTCAGGCTGGCCAAGTTTAATGATAACTGTGAATCCTCCCGCTCCAGATTTGCCATCTCAATCAGTGCCACCAGATATTGCACTGCTGTTTGTGGGAGGGATCAGCAGATTTTCAGGCCACTGTGGATTTTTGCTGGGAGGCCAAAATATCTCTGGAAGGCTTCACTCCAGGACATGTGCTTCCATCCAAGATGTGCTGGAGACTTCTCTGCCTGCCTTCCCTGAGGAACAGGACTCCTCACACCAGCTTTTCTCTCCCTCAGCTCTTCTCCTTCCAGGGTCCTAACAAACCTTGGAACTTTGCTTCACTCTGTTTTGATCTGGCCTGATCTCTCTTGAAGAAATTTGAGCTTCTCTGTTTCAGTGATGGTTTCTTGGAAATACTTGTGCATTATTTGGCTTGTCTTTTCTTAGCTGCCAATACTTCAATTCTTGCAGAGGGTCTTCTTGCCCTCCAATGGTTTCAGCTGCACTGCCTTTAAGAAACACATTCTCCCTGTGTGCTGAGAGACTGAACTTCACCTGGGGAGGGGAGAAATAAGAGAAATCAAATAGATCATGTGATCCACAGATACCTGAAATATTATCTTTTCATTCTCTGAGTGGACCCTTGGAACAATTCTTGTGTGTCTATGACTGGGACTTACTGGCAATTCTGAGAATAATATGTGTTTTGCTCATAAAATTACTTTTATCAAGATGTTCTGTACCAGTGAGGATAGGTAGACAGGCAAATATGCTAAAAACAATAACCAAAAAAAGTGCAAAATGAGCAGATGTGTGTTTTCGAGTGTCAGTGTAACCTTAGTTATATTTAGAATTGTTTACTGCCTCTTCTCTCCTGCTGGAACAATGTTTTCAGAAGCTGAAAGTCTCTGCATCCTCTGGTATTTGTAATTTAGGCATCAGAGTAAAGTTTAGCAGGGGTAAGGGAGGCAGTCGTAAAAACCCTGACAGAGGCTGACAGAATAAACAGATCTGACACAGGGAAGTCTGTTATGCAGGAGGTAAAATGCTGCTTAAAAGTCTGTACACAAGAAAGGTTTATGTAAAGAAAAGAATGGAGTTTTGAGCAATGTCATCAAAGAGCAAAAGTCAGTGCACTTGGCTTTGGATCTGTGGATGATGTACTAACTCTGCATTTTGCCTCTGGACAGATAAAATATTTATGTGTAGTTAAATAAGCCCTAATGATCCGCACTGTACGTTCTTCAGAAATTCGCTAACATGGAGAGTTAATTGACTTTCTGCACACAGTTGTCTAAACAGAACCATTTCAAACATTTACACTTGGAAAAGGGAGGTTTGGAAGCCTCCAGTTCAGTTCAGTGAGGATTCTACTCTTGGTCCAGGTGACCTTCTCGACGCTTGGCCAGACCAGCAGCTCGAACTGAGTCCCTCAGGAACGGGGATATTTGTGCTCTCCAAGGTCTTCCTGCCTTGGAGTGACCAGTCCTGGCAGCCTCAGGGATGTCATTAGGAAAGGCTTGCAAGAGGAATTACGGTGAACTTGCCTTATTAAAATGTTTCTTTGTTCATCAGTCTCTGTGAGCAGAGTGCTGGAATAAGAGCCCCAGGAGCCATGCTAAGAATGCTCCCACCCTGCCATAGATTTATTTAATTATCCCTTAATGGTGCTGTATCCATTCATTTCTGCTCCTGCTGCTCTTGTACCCCCATGCTGGTGAGTTCTGTTGGCAGGCTGAGCTCTGAGCTGTGACCTCAGTGCCATTAATTCCCTTCCCTTTTGTTATTTACTTTTCCCATCAGCAGAGAGGGGCAAAACCACCACCTCACAGGGTGTTTGGAGTGATTTGTTCATTTTAACAGAAAACCCTCCTGCCCAGGAGCTGGGGTTGGTAGTGTGGGAACAACTGGGTGTCAGGTGAGCTGAGCATGAGGGTCTGGGTGCTGGCAGAGAATATGGAGGGAGGAAAAACAGTCTCTGGAGAAGAAATAAAGGATTGGGGGTGGAAGGGGACTGAAATGCGGGTTTCCTCAGGAGCTCCTGTCACAGAGTGCCTCCCTGTGGTTGAGGGCACAGAGCCCGTGGCTACACCTGGTGTGGACCAACCTGGGGAGAGTCCAGCCATGGCCAAAGGGCTGGGGCCAGGAATTCCTGCAATCTGCAGCCTCATTCAATCTGCTCAGATGATGGCACTGGCACCGAGCTGCTCCCTCGGGGAGGGAAGTCCAGCCTTGGTTTTGCTGGGGGGAAAGCTGAGACACAGCATGAAAATACTCCTGTGAACTCTGGGCACTGCTGTGTCCCCTAAAACACCTGCCAGAAAACGAGCCCCTTCTCTCCCACAGCGCTCAGAGGTATAAAGCCTCCTAATTTTATGTTTTCTTTTTCCTTGCAGCAAACTGCCTAGCTGGGCTAGAGCAGTTGTTCCCAAAATATTTTATGTTACGGAGAAGGCCTGGAATTATTATCCTTACACAATCACAGGTAAGGATGAAAGCAGAAGTGACGAGTGGGTGGGGGTTCTGGGATAATTTATTTTGTCTTCAGAGGCTCCAAGTTACATATTGAGCTGTAGATGCCAAGTTCCTTTAATAACTCCCCTTGGACTGCACGTGTTTTTCCACTTTATGTTTGCTGATACCAGAAAATAAAGATTATTTATGATATATCCATAAGGACAGGTAAAAACTGGAGAGTTGTAGCCGTGCAGTTTCATCCTTGCAAAGAAAACATCAGGTGTTTGAGTTCTGTGTGACTTGTGTCCTTTATTGTCCCACAGACTGTAGTAAAATGAAATCAGCAGACTCTCTGACACAATAATCTTTATTATTAATGTATGTTTACTGCAAGGATCTGGCATCATTGTTTTATTTCACATTTCTTCTTTTTTTTTCTTTTCCCTCATCGTTCTTTTTTTTTTTTTTGCAAATGGACAACTGGAAATCAGAATACACAGTAAGTTTTTCTTCCTCTTTTTATTCTAAAAATAGAAAAAAAATGTAAAATATAGTGGTATTCTAACCTGATTCCTTTGTAATTTACTAATACATAATGGATTCAATAGTGTAATTTTATTTTAGTTATTAGTTTCAGAAATTTAAGGTGAAATTTGAAGTGTTTCTATGGGGATCCTATAAATTATTTACCTTATTTTTTTTATCACTTGGAAATAATTTGATATATTTGTAGTTACTGACTGTAACAAAGAGAAGCTTCTGTAAAACAGGGCAAGGCTTTTAAGGTTCCAGTTATTACGTGGAGACATGAGAACAGATTTTATTTTATTTATTGTTTTATTAACTTATAAAATGCTCATCTCTGGTATAGTATCTGGGAAACTGTGCAATCTGTAGACAAAATTAAACATAATCTGGGCACAGTGCCCAGAAAAATCAGCTATTCCCTCTAGCAGAGCTAAGGCAAAATATAGCACATAAATCATGAGAAAAATTGTTTTAAATGTGCTGGCCTCAATAATATACAGTAAGTTTTCAGCAGCCTTTGGAAGATGAGGAGGAGCTGGTGAGGAAATTCCAGGTGAAGGGACCTTTTTGGAAACTCCTGCTTTGATTTAATCTGAACTTCTGTCTGTGGGTAAAACATAATCCACTTGTTGTTCTTAACTCTGCAGTGCTCAAAATGTTTGTGCAAGTTTTTTTTTAACAACTCAGAAAGCATAAGGAGAGGAAAGAGATTTCAGTGTGATAAATGTGGGAGAGAGCAAATAAAGGGATTTAAAGGCTCAGATCTGAAAGGTGGAGACCAAGGGCTGAAACTGGGATGACCAGCTTTGAAAACCCAGAGCACCAAACTGTGCTTTCCTGTAGATATTTCTTTCATTTTCTGCTTTGCTTCGTGTTTAAAGAAGTTCATTTGATTGGCAGAGGAAACGCAAATGCCCCCAAATGGACAGTAGCAATGAGGGACAAATTCTCAGCTCCTTTTGCCAGAAGATGTTTTCAGTTGCCATTAATGAAGGGTTTACCTTTGAGAGCACGTTTAGTTTGAGGCTGGGAAGGTGACATTTGCTGTGCTGCACTGATGTCTCTCCATTGTATCTTTGAAAGGAAATCTCATTTTTTTTTTATGTGAGATCTTTTTTTTTTTTTTTTTCTGTGACTGAAAGAGACAAGTGGGAATGATGAAAAGGGATGGTGGGAGACAGAAATACACATGGCTGAGCTTGAAATGCAACACATTGTCAAACCCAAACGGCTCAGAGAGCCTGAACCAGGAGGTGATCTCTGTGTACTCCCATGAAACCACAGCTGGAACACATTTCAGTGCAAGGGGGAAGGTGGTGGAAGGTGAACAGCTCCAGAGATGTTCAGGAGCATCAGCAGAAATGATTGCAGGGCTGGGGAGACTTGTAAAGTAAAACTAAATTGGTCTCCTAATGTAGATGATGGTAGGCAGAGCAGTCACAAGTGACAGGATAACTGCCTGGGGGAGCTGGGGACTAATTACTCACCATGGTGCAAGGAAACAGAACCAGAAATACTGGGAGGAGGTGAGGGAAACTACTTCAGACGAAAACCTAAAGTATGTTTTAATGCAGCTGATAGACTGTGAATTTATCTTCATGGAAAACAGAGACAGTGCCTTTGCCTCAAACTGTTGAATCTAGAACAAAAATGTTAAATACACCACTGGGAATAATCCCTATCCCTGTCTGGAACGTTTCTCTAAATTTTCATCTTCTGTAGTCTACAGAGGATTCTGGAAGAAAGAATAAGCCCACAGGCATTGCCCAAAATACTTGAGATAGCTTGGAAACTCTTTTCTTAGGGAGAGCAAATCCCCTCCAAAGGGTCTGGGGGCCGTGGTAAGAGTTAAATTGAGCCTCACTTCAAGGAAAAGTGATTCCAAAGGCAGGCCAGTAATTGGATAAATAAAGCATAATCTTATCAAGCACATTCTGCTCCGTGGTGTGTTCACACCTTATTAACCTTGCAGGTTCCACTCTAAACAGAGGGAAGGGCCTTAGAGGCTTAGCATGTTTTTTCAGTGAAATTTTATGGAATTCATAAATATGACCTTCCTGGGGGCCTGAAATTAGGGCACCTTAGAAAAAATGCTCACTGGGCATTGAAGATAATTTTCAGAATATTGCTTTCTGCAGTGGCTCTTTAAAAAGCCAAGAGCAATTGGATGCATGAGGGCAGGAATGGAAATTACACTGTCATCATGTTAGTCCTTAATAATCTGGGGCCAGTTACGGATAAATTTGACAGCAAACAGCGTGGCTGCTACCAAGCACTGACAGCCATATTAAAAGTAAGGAAAGCAGATGACACACTTGAGATAATGAGCTTAACAGGACTGTTGCACAAGCAGGGCCTTTGTGGTGTGTAATGTGTGAAACAGTGTCATGTCAGGGGAGCATCTGCAGATGGACCATACAAAGGACTTCCTACCAGGGAGGTGACACATGGCCACTGTCCCAAGAAATGCTGTCTCAGAGCTGGAGATAATCCTTGAAAGCTTCCTGCTGACACTGAGAGGGAGGAGGAAGTCGAGAAAATAGTTTGGAAGCTGAAGGGAAAGGAAGTCTTGTGGATTTGGGGGTGCTATTTTGGGAATAGGATGTCCCTGTAAGGTTCAGTTCTAGTGGCTGGGGCCACTTCCCAACTGTGTGTGACAAAGTCTCTTCAGGTTAGTCAGGAGCTGCTTTGGTTGTGATCATGTCATCAGAAACCTGACCAGATCCCTTGCCAAAATACAGGGTTCATTTTTATCTACGAGTTCAGTCAGTGCTGTGGTGGGGTTGATGTTAAGATCACAGAGTTGGGATACTGCATTTGGGGTGCAGCAGGAAGGGAACCCTATGGATTCCATTCCATGAAGGATTCCAGGACTTGGTTATCAGCAAATGCCTCCTGCCCAGCTCCACCTGCATTCCCAGGGGGAAAGCTGCTGGCTTTGGAAGGAATTCTTTCGCTAGGCTGGGGCCTTTGTCACTTGGAGGATGGAGGAAAGATGCCTTGCAGCTCTCAACAACCCCTTATGTGCCAGCTTATCGCAGCCTTTGCAAATACATCTCGAGTAGAAAATATTTAGGCTATTCTTGGTGGACAAGAAGGAGGGAACTTTCAGAAGGCTTTGTTATTTTTCTTTCTGGATTAGAAATAATTAACCAGAAAGCAAACCTGTGCCTATTGCAAACCAAACGAAAAGGAATCGTGGAGAACTGGGTTTCTTTGCCTGCGCTGGGATATAAAAATCAGAAAATAAACAGCACAGAGCAGATCCCCATCTGACCTGCTCGAGTGACAGTGAAGATTCTGGACCAAAATAAAGAGAGGAGCCCTCAAGCAAACAAATAATCAGATCACGAATGGTTTGGTGACTAAACCGTGGTGCAAAAACTTCGTATGATCCAAGTGCAGTGAGAATGAGGCAAACAAAGTTTAGCTCTCAAGTCAGAGCACAAAGAGGCTTGGAAAAATACAAACAGGATTGAAGCAAACTCTTCTGAGTTTGAAGGAGCAGTTCAAGTGTTTACCAGGGAGCATTTCAGATAAAATTGCTGTCTGACCTGAACAGCTTCAGTGTTGTCAGCAATATTTCACCTCTGGGGGTGAAATTAAAAAAAAAAAACAAAACAGCTGAACAATTTTTGGGTGCATAATTTATGGTCAATTGTTGGTTTCATAATTATGTAAAGCAAAATAAACATTAAAATGGCATGGCTTACTCTCTGTGAGGAGGAGGATTCCTTCAGCGTGCCAATGTTTCAAATTAACTTAGGAATAGGATATAAATTCAGAATGTTTATGAAAAACAGTTATGGAACAGAAAGCAGGAGACAACAATTCCTTTGATGATTTATCACAATGACAGTAATTCTTCTGCAGCAAATGACTGAGGAAAATAAAATTATGTCATCTGGTATGTGTCAAGGCCCCAGAGTGAGAGTTGCTAAATGGTCCATTACTGACCTGCTGGTTTCTGATTACTTTTGAGAATAGGCATGTTTTGTGCTTCACTTTGCTGCTGGTTTATCCATGAAGTAAATTATCTGGAGGGGAGGTTTTTGTAACTGTTATTTTTATAATGAGATGACTTGAGAAGGAAAATAGTTGTTTCAGATAAACATGGCTGGGGAGTTTTTTCCTGTGTTCTCTTTGTCTGATTACCAGCCCTTGAAATTTGGATGTAACCCATCACTCTTCAGTGCATAAACTTTCCTCCAGCTTGAGAAGAGCCTGCATCAAAAGTGCAACAGAATCTTATTGAAGGATTAGAGCCTAATGCAAAGTTCCTACCAGAATTCTTCCCCTCTCACCCCCCACTCAGAAGACAGGCTGGTGCCACTGCTCTAAAAAAAATCCCAGATTTGTGTCCCTTAGAGGTTCCAGCAACAGGAAGGACCTCTGTGGTATTTATAAACCCCAAATAACATATTTTTAGAAAGCTGCAAGCCTGTTCTCATCTAATAGCTTAATCCCATTGAAACAAGTAAACCAAACTGCTCAGAGAATTCCCTCCTTCCAGCACGGGCTCGCTGTAAAGCAATCCAGAGCCCTCTGATGGATGGGACTGTCATTTCCAGTTGTTCTCGCTGCTCCTCCCTGCTGTTCCCCCTCAATAAGCAGGTTACTGCTCCCATGCATCAAACAGAGAGATCCTGAGGGAAGGCAAAGCCAGAGAGAAGAGTTTCACAGTGGTTGGAGGCAACTTGTCAGTCGCTGTTTCATCTCCAAGTTATTGTGTGTAACACAAATAGCGGGTGTCTTTCTCGGCTTGTTTATGAGGTTTGCTCCCTTGTTTATTTTCAGGCCCTGGTTTTGGATTGTTCTCTGCCCTTCCCGCTCAGCAGCGCTTTGGGTTTGCTGTTTGCCACCTTCCTGCGCTTATCTTGCTTTCCAAATTCCCCTCCCTCTGGTTGAGTCACATCTCCCCAATCCTGCCATCCCCCTGCCCAGCCCTTTCCATCCACTGTCTCCCAGCCCTGTCACCCTGAGTGCTGCTGCTCCCTGCCCTGGGTGACCTGTACCTCACAGCAGCTCGGGGGGATCCAGGCACTGCTGTCTGGAGCAGCCTGAGGGTACTCCATAACATAGTGGCCATTTTCCAAAGAACTTTGGATATTCCACCTTCCACTACCCCCTGCTGTCACATCCCCTTGGTTGCAGAGAAGCAGGGACTCCATTTGCCTTTACCAGTTTTTTGCTCTTCGGTAAAGAAGTGCTGTTGTCACAAACTGAGTAGCAAAATAGTGCCCAACATTTTTTTAATTCCAAGGGCGTGGTATCTGGAAATGGCCCTGTTAAAAAAAGGATTTAATTTGCCTTGGCCAGTCTCACCTCATTGTAGAAGTCACTGTGTTCTTTACCTGGAGGTTCCACGGAGATTGCTCTGTGAGGAATCCAGTTCCACCTGTGTTGCCAAAATAATGTAGATGTGACCCTATAAAAAAAAATCATCAGTCTGAGAAGTGGTGGGAGATGAGAGAGAACATTTACATGAAATGTCTGCCTGGCTGGGCTTTTATGTTAAGATTTAGGGGGGATGTGCTTCTGCTGCTTAAATAAAAAGTGGGATTAATTTTTACTGTACAAAAATAACTGCTGAGGATTGTGGATTAATATTCACAGGGAGCAGGAGAAGTGAAGTGCAGGGGTGAGGTCTCCAGCAGGTCTTTGAACACTCTGCAGACAGAAAAACCATGTGGGAAATGAAACCAGCTGCAGTGGCATTGATGAACTGGCATCACTCACACAAAGCAGGTTCCAGAGGGTAAAGAAACCTCTCTCAGACCAACAGATTTACTGACAACTCCAGGAATCCCTGCAGCCACCTCGGGTGTAATTACTATGCAAAGATTAGATTGACAGCCTTGTCCATAAAACCACTGTCACCCACCCTGTGCTTGACTGTCTCTTTAAGACTTTGGCAGTGTTTTGGCACACTTGGGTTCTACCCTGTTCTTCTAAGTGTTGCTTATTGCCATGGCAACGCTAATCAATCATCGTGCTAAAAATAGGCCTTTCGTTTTTCAAGAGGTTATATGTGGGGAATTGCAAATGCAGCTGCAGGCTGTGCTTGCCGTGTGCTGCATTCACTGCCTTCATCTTCTGGTGGAAATGCCCCTTCTCCTGTGTGGTGATTACTGGGACAGGCTGGTTGATGCACTGAGTGCCCTGCTGAGCCTTGAACCTCTCTCAGCTCCTCCAAAATTCAGGTGCCAAATATAGAGAGTTTAAGGAAACAAGCAAATAAACCCCTCAGAACATTGCCCTTGTTTGGTTTGGAGTGTCACAGGTATACTGGGGTATAACAATTTAATAAGGGGTTTATAAGACATCTAAAAAGTCTGGAGGTGACAATATAGAAGACACTTCCTTTGAGGGCTTTACACCTTACCAGTGAAGATTTTGTTCTATTATGCAGAACTTAAGTCTAATTTCAAGGTAAAGATTGAATCTGCCACTGTTTTATTCCAAAGAGGAACCTTGCAAGCTGTAGATGCAGTGAGATGGAGAGCTGGAAACAGTGCCCTGGGCATTCCTGAGTGTGTGGGGATCGATCACCTGCAGGTCTGTGCTGGAAGAACACGGGCCCCAGGAGAGGCAGAGCAGGAAGGGAGTAGTGCTGGGAAGAAAAAAAAATAATCTACTCACAGGTTTATTACCTCACTATTCACTCCCCACTTCGATTCTGACTGTTGCATAACAATTTTAATCCCCAGCTAAGTAAATACGAGGCCGCTTTAGGGAAGGTGGGAGGGGGGAAAAAAAACCCCAACAACTTTTTGCACGATGAATAATAAGTCTTTTGAACGATGCATAAGCAGTTTTCTGGTTCTGCCAGAGCCCTCTGCCAATTAGTCAGAGCGCAGCTGATGAATCATGAGACACATTCTGTGAAATGTTCAGAAAACTTGGACCCTGCTAAGTGTGTTCCTGAAAGCCAGCGAGACCCCCCACGGCTGCTGGAGCGGTGGCTGCCAGTCACTCGAGTCCCTGGGCAGATATATTTGCAGTGAATTCACTTTTTTTGGTGAATTTGAGTTTTCACTTGGGGTAAACCCCGTGTTACCATTTATAATCTCGAATTAGGTTGTTGCAGTCCTCTCTCCCTTGGTGCTCAGCACGAGGGAGGCTGACTGTGGGTGGCTTTTACACCGAGTGGCTCTGCTCTCTAATGAGGTGGCTTGAGGTAAAAGGCACTTGTGGTTCTTCTGTGCTACCCTGAGGATCCTTGGTCTGCTCCTCAGCGTTGCTTTTTTGAAATGCAGGGTTAGAAGATCTCGTGTTTTTAATTAGAGGTGAGATCCTGGGTCACAGGAGTCCACAAGGAGATGGAATCAGTGTCTTGGTGAACTGCTGTGTCAGCCCAGCGCAGGTCACGGTCGATATTTGGGGCAGCGACGTTGCAGTGTCATGACCTGACTCACGGCTGGTGACCCCCAGGCGCTGATTGAGAACAGCAGGGATTTTTTAATAGCCAGGGGAAAGGGAAATCTGGCATTTGGCTTTGTTCACAATTTCCTCTGAAACTGCAGCCATGGCTCAGATCAGCAGCACAAAGTTTGCCTTTCGCAGCACCTCGTTTGGGGGAAACTCTGTGCCTTGTTTTTTTAGGGATGTGCTGGCTGAGTGCTGGCTGTGCTGCGCTCAGGAGAAGGTCGAGCAGTGACCTGGTGGGTGACAGCCGTGGAAGAAGGGACGTATTTTCCCCAATCTGCAGGGAGCTGGCTCCTCGTTTCAGCTGTGCTGTACTGCACCTGCCCTCCCAAACCACCTCTCCCTAAATCATCAGCTCCTCCCTCAGAGCTCTCCCGGTGTCACCAAGCCCAAACTTGGGCCAGCAGCCAGGTGGACACTGAGGCACCGTGTCCTCCTGCTGTAACCTGCGTGTGCAGCACCTCAGAGAGCCGCTGCTGATGCATCACACGAGGAACTGGCACTTAATGCAAGCAAAGACTTGGTGACTAATGGTAAAGATGCTGAACTGGATTCCTTCAGGGTTGCTTGGACAGCTGCTCTGTCTGCCTGCCTGGAAAAGTTGCTTTGAAAGAAAAACTGCGAAATGCTGAATAAAAGAGACTTGAAGTAATTTTATTTTTTTTTTACTCGAATTATGTTGCCTAGGATTATAAATTCTGGCCTTCATAAGGCAGCTAAGCTAAGCAATCCTCAGAAAAACAAATTTATTCCCATGGAAATACGGAAATATTATCTTTAATAGGAAAAAAATTTGTGTGTTCTTAATTTTTTTTGCATCGTTGAAAATTTACTTGGGTTTAGTGTAAAGGAATTTCCTCAGCAGCTCATAATCCATTTTCATTTCATTAATAGGAAATTACATTAAAATTCATAAAAGCCCTCACATATGAAAGCACTGCTGTCTGTTTGGTCAGGACCTGCAGGTAGTGAAGTGTCCTTGGCTTATTTTATATGGACTGGTCCATGATGAGGAATATCAAGCTGCTCTCAAGATCTTAGTGAATTAAATTTATAACGAGGCATTCAGCACATTCAAACTCCTTGGCATAGTGAGCATGGAAACAGTTGTGTCCAGTTATTCCAGAGTGCCTTTACTAATTTATTTATACCTTCATTATAGTACTCAGCTTTTAGCTAGAATCTCTACGTCCCTCCAGAATGATAAAAACCTTTGCTTTTATATTCTGTGAACTTTTAAGTTTTTTTCTTGAAGTAATCTGGAAAAGAAATAAGAAAGCTGATCCCGAAGGGGCTGTACTGAATATGTCAGCTGGTGAAACAAGGTGTATTTTTTTATGTTAAACATGTCTTTCTTCTCTTGCAGTGTTCCTTTTTGCCCAAATTCTCCATTCATATAGAGACAAAGTACGAGGACAACAAAGGAAGCAACGACAGCGTAAGTACAGTGGCTTGTGTAAAATTGAATTTACTCCTTTTAGTTATCCATGGTGTGTGCCTGGGGGTTGCAGTTTGGGGAAAAGGCCCCCTCAGTTTGTGCCTTTGCCCCTCCCTGGGTGTCCTGGTCCTGAACAGCTTCTGAATTTGCAGAAGAGTTGCCTCTAAAGCAGCAGGAGATGAAAGCTCCATGTACACACCTGCCCTTCTGCCTCTCCCTTTCTACTTGTTACTTGTCTAAACACAATTTACACGTGTGAGTTTAGTCCTGGTGAACGTTTATGCAGAGTAAAGAAAAGATTACTTTTTTTTTTTTTTTTTTTGGTGTAATTGTGTTCCACTTTATCTGTTTCACAGAATTCTCTGTGGGGGAAAGGGGGGTGAATTCCAAGGAGGTGTCAGGAAGAGCAAACAGGAAACCAAACAATGGTCAGAGATCTCAGTAAACAGCTTCGGGGGAACAGTGGGTGGGGACCGAGGTGATGCTTTTTGCAGTCATTTACCCAGAGTTTTAAAAAGTTTTCAGAGTTAGAGATGAGAAGGACAATTAACTATTTAAAATCCTCTCTAGGGAAGGCTGGGAGTGGGTATCCAGCAGCTGCTGAGCTCAGTGGAGCAAAGCAGAGTCCTACACCTTGCCAAAAAAGAGTAACTTCCAATAAAGCCCAACATTTAAAGATTCAGCCCTTGCATTCACACACAAATACATTCCTCTGTGTTTCATTTTGGTTTGCTTTAAACAGCCACTGGCTGCAGACTTGGGAGAAGAAGTTTCTTGTAGGCCTGAAATACAAGTTGCAATGTGCAGAAAAGTGGTCTGTGGTGCAGAGACCCCAGTGAAGGGGTGTTTGAACTCCTTCTTGAGAAGGAAGAAGGCAGGAAAGCAGATTTTAAAGGTTCTGAGACACAGCCTTGCAGTGTCCTGGGGGTGTCCCTCCTGCAGCCTTGGGGAGGGGAGGGTGTTCTGTTCTGCAGGTGGGAGGTCCATCTCCCTCAGCCTGACAGCTGCTGCCCTGCTCACGGCACAGTAATTCCAGGCACAAGAACAAGGTATCATTTGGAATGATGCTTTTGGCACACAGACACTTTCCCACTGGGAACACGACTGGGATCATCTATTTACCCAGCAGATACCCACAGCCCTCAGCCGCTGCTGCTGTCAGCCAGATCAGTGAGTGAGTTAGAAGTGTATTCCATTAGCAGCTATGTGAGCATTATGTAATTTATGCACTATTTAATGTTCACTTCTGCTTTTTGGCAGCACTTTCATTGAGAGCAAGCCCACACCTTTGGCTTTGGGAGGGTGCAGACTTGTCTTCTGGTACATCATAATGTCAGCAGTGAGCAGACACGTTCTGTGCTGCTGCCTGACAGAGGGAAAACTGAAGCTCTTCAATCAGTGAGATCCTCAGGGTGTCAGCTTGTGGTTAAAATCCTGTGAATCAAGCCCTGAACAGTGCCCAGCCAGGGAATTTTAAGATGAAAGGGACACAGAGGTGGGATACTCGGGTGATGTAAATCAAAGAGTCTCTGCTCTGCTCGAATCCAGCTCTCCCAATCTCATTTTTCCCAGAGTGCCAGGGGGGGAATATCATATTACCTTTCTATTGCAGCACCTGAGTCACAGCCTAGGCAAGTGTTTACCTTGATGAAAAGATTTCATTGACCCTTCCTTGAACTGAGGAGGAGAAAGAGAAACTGAATTAGAGAGTTGCACTGCAGCCCTGATTTCCCTGATCTTGTAATTCTGTGAGCTGTGCTGTTTGCTGTGTGGACACAGTAAACCTGTGGAATATCTGGTTTTTTGTGCCCTTGATCTGGTGACCCAGACGTGGCTGGTTCAGCCCTGAAATGCTGGAAGGTTCAGAAACAGGGAGAGACTTCTGTTAATCCAAACCTTGGAACTGGGACTAAGAGTCCATCTTGTTTCCATTACTCACTGAGCAGGCTTAAACTTCGCTTAAGAACACACAAAGTGTATTTGTCCTTCGTGTCAGACAAGTTTGGATTAAATTTCACTCTGTTTGTCTGGCTAGAAAACAACTGGAACCAGCATCCATTCCTATAGCTCTCCATAGATACACTATCTATTCCTTCACTGCAACTGTCAGCCTTGGCTGACGAAGGAATAATTAATCCAGAAAAATACTTCTGTAAATTTTGCAGTTGTAGTGCAAAATAGACCAAATGAATATTAATGTTATGGTAATGAGGGTAATAATGCATGTCTGGTTTTAACTCAGCTATTTCTCCATATATTTTTGGAGATCATACAGGTTTTTTGGAATCTTTGATCTCCTCTTCATTTCCATGCTGTCTGGTAAAGTAGATATTGGTTGTGAAAAGCAATAATTAGGTATAAGGACACTAAAACTAATTCCAGTGATGAATGGAAGCAAGCAATATAAATGCCTCGTGTTCCTGGTGTCATTTAGCAGGCTGGGATGTTATTGGAATTATTTTATTTAACATTTTGCATTGACTGGTATAATTCTACCAAATTACTGCAATATGTCTTGATGCAAAAGCCTCCTGATTTTCCTTCCTAATTGTCCTGACAGAAGATACCAGGGAACAATAATGATCACTGCTCCAGAACTTCATCCTTCTATGTCTTTGACTTTGCTATCATCTTAATCTATTTTAAATGTGTTAAAGCACTGTTGTCCCGATCTGTTCAAGTTTGCACTTGATTTGCACAAATATAAACACTGACAGAAAGAACAATGGATGGTAGTAAAGTCCTTTATTTAGGTAAAACCTCGTGTAGTGGTGCAGAACCATAAATCCATCCAGCTGTGATGTCAGTGCCCAGTGCAGCTGATTTTGCTTTATCACACGAGATGTTCCATGGCAACTCTGTCCTTGGAAAAACAGAGCCAGCGCTGGATGAACACGTTAGCACATCAAATATTGTCCCTGCTCCCTTGCAGTTTACAGCTCTGGTAACTGTTAGAAACCGGGCCCAGGACTCGGGCCAGGCAGCGTTGCCTCTTTTTTCCTTTTAAAAAGCCAAGTTCTCGATTTAAGGAGAAATTTTGTTTTTATCGGACTTGCGTTTGAAATTAGGAAGTGGAATTTCTGAAAATTGGAGTGTTTTGTGTGGTGTGAGCACCAGAGGAGGTGGGATCTGGAGGGCACACGAAAATATCGCTCCCCTTTGCACCCCCAGCTCGTGACGTCAGTCAGGGGCACAGAGGGAGCTGCAGGTGCTGCAGCAGAGCCTCAGGGAGCACAGGGCAGGCTGAAAGTGCAGAGTAATCACACACCTCCCTCACCCTAAGGAAAATCAGCACTTTGGGAACTGGAATACAGAGGCACAGAGTCTGTATTTGGAATATTAAAACCATAATGCACGGCCGGGATAATCCCTAAGGCTGCCTGGGGGATGAAATGGTCACAGCTCCAGGCAGGAGGGGTGGGAGTTGCTGCTTGTTTGGGTGTTGTGGGAGCTTTGCTTCCTGTGAACAGACCTCATAACCTGTGCTTTCACTGGGGCAGGTGTTTTCTTTACACAGCCTGTAAAATGGTCAATTTGTGTCACACAGGGCTAATTTTAGTCTTAATTGGTGTCTTGCTCTCACTTTCCCCCATCTCACGTTCTCACTATTTCCATGTGCGCTACAGACACACATTTTGGTTTTTTTTTTTTTTTACTTTTAGTGAGGAGTGCCCCAACTGTGCCTGTCAATGAACTGTGTGGATTGCACAGGAGCCACCATATGGCTGCAGGGGATGCTGTAATCACTGCTCAGTGATCTCACACACGGCAGCTTGGATGCCACGCTCTGAAAGGGGCTGAAAAGCAGTTTGTAGCTGAAGGTAGAGAGAGGCAGAGTGAAGACAGACACAAATCACAGAGACACTCCATTTTCCTGTTTGTTGCAGAGGGGTGATTGTGTTTGACTGATGGCTGTTGGTTTGGTTTGGTTTGTTTTTTAGTCACGGAATTAATTGCTGCTGATATTTGGGCAGTGAGTCTTTGCCATCTGACAGTGTCTGGGGAAAGCAAAAAAAGTACAGCTTGTGAAATAATCTAAAGGTTGTCAGTAGTGGAAATTCACTGTATGTCAGACTTCCAGTGCCTTGCTCTTTGTAGCATAACATTTTTCTCTGGAAAACTCAATGGCTGGGTCTTGATTATTAAACTGAAGTAAAATAAATTTTAGGTATGGCAGCTCACAAGAAAAATCCGTTTCTAGTTTGGCTTGGGTTAGGGTGGGGGTTTTTTCCCGTATTTTTATCTCCTGTCTTTAGTGCCATGGAAGTAGGTTGTAACAAACTTGAATATAGCACATGGAAATTAAATGTAAATTCACTATTTAAGGCAACTTCCATGAAACACTGATTTAAGCTGAAAAGGATTCAGCTGTGCCCTGGTTTAGCCTCACTGCACAGCAGGATCTCATTCTGGAAACTGTCAAAAAGGATTGCTGGGCATCACTCAAAACCAGGCAAAGTCAAAGCCAGGGGCACTCTGAGGGTGGTTTTATTTGCACCTGGACTTTTCCTGTAGTGTGGTATTAAATATCCGTTGTCCCCTGGGTAATTCACAATGAAAAATCGTGATTTTTGTAAAGCTTTCCCCCTCTTAATAATTCTCAAAAAATAGAAGCCCCCCAAGGGGAGAGGTCAGCCTGGAACTCCTCCTGTGTGAGGAGCTGTCTGTGTGCTGAACTGCAGATCGTGTGTCCCAAGCACATATGGCCACTGCACAACAAATGACAGGGCCCACACTGGCAGGGAGGGGGAACAGGTGCTATGGTTGTGCCTCTGCATTTTGATTTTTTTTCTAAATGAACTGCTGGAAGTGTCTCAGTAAACCTGGCACTTGAACTAGATGTGACTTTAAAAAAAAACTCCTAATCCCAGTAAATATTATAGATAGTCTCTCACGGTCGTGGGAGCACAGCTACTTTGACATAATTACATAAAAATCCATTTCTCTGTCCAGAAAGTGCAAACCTAAATGGTGGAATAAGAGGGGAGTCGTGACATGGAGATCTAAAGGAGCAGGGAGCAAGGCTGCAGATAAATATGTAAGTGCCTCTCCCTCTCTGCAGCAGACAGGGATATTCCCTTGCTGTTCAGGGAGCCAAATTTTCTGCTCTCACAGAGAGGTTCAGCCTTTTTCCCCAGAGAAGAATTGCTCCCAATTTTGTGTGTCCACATAAATAGTTGCAACCAGTGAACAGGTTGGAAATTGGTCAATTCCTGTAATCTTTGCCCAAGTAAATTCCAAGAGCAAATTTAAGGGACTGGGGAGGTAAAAGAGGTTGGGGCATGACTTGCTGAAAAGTTACACACTGAATAAACTCCGTGGATAAAGTTCTGAGTGGGAGTTCTTTCGGTTTAGACCAAATTTTCCTTGGGGAAAAGGAGAGCTGCAGTGCCCCAGGTGGCACAACCTGCTCAAGGTGCTGTAGCAAATCCACTGCCAGGGGTTCTGGCCATGGCACTCTGAGGAGATCAGAATTTCAAGGTGGAGAGTGCATTTTGTGCCTTTTTTTAATGGGAAAAAAAGGATTCTTCTTGCAGCCCTTGCTGCAATGAGACCCCTAACACGAATTAGCTGCCTCATTACAGGCTCCTGGCCACAAACTCTTGTGCCTGGGCTGGTAAAAAAAAACAAAACAACATTTTGTGTGTAATGACAGAGCTGAACACCTTTTCCAGCTGCTAATGCTTGGATGGCTCCTTGGCTCTTGAGGGCACAAAACCCAACATCACAAGAGAGGATCATGTATTATGAAACAAAGCCAAGCCAGAGGCACAGCTGTGACCCTCCTGCTAGTGCAGATGAGCCAGGAGTTTGGCAGTGTGGGTGGAATCGATGGATTCAGCAGGGTCTGGGTTTATCCTGGTTATATCCAGCCCAGGTTAGCGGTGGGGATTGGCCAGGAAAGTTAAATTTTGCATTAACTACATCTGAATGGAGTCAAAGCCAGCAACTTAGCCTGAAAAGGGAGGAAAAAGAGGAAAAACGGGAGAGAAGCTTGTGGAAAAGATGATGTTAAACTTGCTGGTGACTTCCCATCACCTCCTAACCTGAGTTCTTATTCTGGCTGTGGCCACCAGGGAAAGGGAGTCACTAGCCAAGGGTGTGCCAGGACATGTCATTGCAGTGAGGGAAATGTAAATACCTCAGAACTTCCATTTGAGCAGTGCCCTGTGAGAGGTATCTTTCCTGAGCTTCTGGGATCATCTGCCAGAGGGGTTTTTTGTGTGCTTCGGTTGGTTGGGTTTGTTTTTTTATTTTCGCCAGGAGTAACTACTGACAATCATAAAGACCCAGTTGAAACCTTTCTCCCACTTGCTGCCACTCTGTGACGTGCTGAGATTCCATTCCCCTCAGGAAAAGGAAGTGTACGAATGTTTGTTGTAAAAAAGATGTCCCATCCCACCCCCCACCCCCCCAAATGAAACCAAAAGCCACAGCAGAAAGGACACTTCAGCCTGGATGTTGCTCTTTGTTTTCCATTTGATTGGGTGTTTCAATCTCCATTAATAACTTGGCTTCTAAATGGAAAGCCTGTCCAGTTCTTTCCAATACAATATTTAATATTCTGTCTTTCTACATCATCCTCTTAAGGATACAGATTGTTCTCACCCTTCAGTTTCTGCACATTTGCAAAGACAATCTCGCACAGATTGGGAGCCTTCTGCTTCTTTTTGTGGCCTTTAATCTTTTTCCCTTCAAACTTTTGAATTTCTCCAGTCTCTTTGATCACAACCACAATAAACCCGTCCTCCCCACAGGGTCTCAGGCAATCCCACGTTCTGTGGCTGTGAGAGGCAATAAGAGAATTAGAGCTGAGAAAGAAATCACTCTTGTTCTCTAATGACTTCTTATTTTCCACTACTGATAGAACGAGAAGATTAAATCTCCAACTGCAAATCTTGTGAGGACAGTCTGAGAAGGGGGAAGGCATAAATGATTAGACAACAAGTTCTGCTGGCAAAGGGAAGGGAAAATGTCACTCAGCAAAGTTCTGGCGTAGAGGGAATGGTCAGAGACAGCCTGGGCAGCAAATGAGGCATCGTTGGAATGGCTGAAAAATTCCTCCTGGTTTTGACAGATTGGCAAAGGCATCTGTCATCCCCACTTCCATCCCAGCACTTGAAAGAGAGAAAAAAGAATTTAGAATTATATTCTAAATGAGGTGAAATATGTGGAGCAAGCCTGGGACAGAGCAGGGCACATTTCTTTGGATAAGATATTGGGTAATAATCCCCATTTAGGGCCTTGCAAATGTGCAGAGATTTGCATCTGCTTAAATTTATGAGGCTTGTACCTAAAGCACGGACAGATCCAGAGCCTCAGCTGACCTGGTAATGTCCATTTAAGAGCAATCTCCATTATTTTGTGGAGATTATGGTGAAAAGGATCTTGTTCCAGAAATAGTCCAACTTATTGCGAGCTGCTCTGTATTTCTGCATTTGTTTAGGAAAAATGCAAGGGAAGAGGCTTAGGAAAAGCGACCTATATTATATCTATAAACCCAGCAGTGATTTACATCAGCATGCCCAATTCAGAGAAGGAGCACTCCAGGGGAAGGAGCTCCCAGCTCCAGTTTGTTCAAATAATCAGCACAGTTTTTTGCAAAACAGGGCTTGGAGAAAGAGGACAGGCACACAAATAAAACCAGGCTGTAGTTTCTCTTTTTCAGTTCTTCTGCAGTGTCAGATGTATGAACATGTTACCTCCAGCTCAATGAACATTCAGTGCTGCCTATTCCATTCACTACCAGGACAAGTTAAAATTTTAGAGTCAGCCTTCAGCTTTTCCTGGATTTGAATGACGATTTCCTGAGCAATGTTCTTCTTATCAGCTGGTTCTTCCTGTGTTCACTGGAGTCCATTGCTCACTTCAAATGCTTTAAATGGGCAGCTGCGTTGCTTTCAGAAATAATAAAGCAGCATTCTTGTTACTAAAGAGTTGCTGGCATTTTGTATTTTTAACTGTTCCTCCAGGATGAAATTAAATGAAATTAAATCAGCAGAGCGTTCACTGCATTTATTTAAAGAGGGGGGAAAAAAAAAAGGAAAACAAAAATATTTATGCTTCCTGGAAATGTCAGCTATAGAACATTGTGCCCCAAAGGAAAAAGCACATCATGAGCTTGTTACTGATCCTGACAGTGGATGCACAGCTTCCCTGAATTTCATGCCACTGATTCATGGCAGCCTTTAACTCAGCACTATTTCCACCCCTCAGAATTATGAGAGAAACCTTCTGCAGACACAGTGCAAGTCACATGGGTCGCTGAGGTGCCTAAATAATTTAATTATGGACCGAGGCACAGAAGGAGACTGTGCTGCAGCTGCAAATGACCTGGATTTTCAAAATATCCCCAACGTTTGCCTTGCATAGAACACGAGACTTGGGGTTCTGGAGCAGGTCCTGAAGGGTGGAAGTGAAGATGAGCTCTGTGTGTGCACAGATGGGAAGGGGCAGCTTGCAGCTTCCACTGAGCCAGTTCAGCCAAAAATACATTCTGTGGCAGGTCACTGCAACTGCTTGTAACCAACCACCTCTGCAGGTGGATTCTGGGAGGGTGTTGTTCTGTAACAGCCTTGCATTTCTGTAACTCTTGCAGATTTTTGACAAGGAAGCGAAGGATCTGGAGCGCGAGGTTTGCTTCATCGACATCGCCAGCGACGAAATTCCCGAGCGCTACTACAAGGAATCCGAGGTAAGAGACAGCCTAGTTGGGTAGTGGTGAGGAAGGGAAGGGAAGAGGCTGCAGAAAAGCCTGGACAGGAATCAGAACTATTTCTATTTTGGGCTGAAATCCTGCTGGTCAGTGGTATTCCAAAAGCCCTCCAGCAGAGGGGAAGCAGCAGCAGCCTCTCCGTCTGGATAGCCTGACACGTTCCTTTGCAGATGATTCCTTTTGAAATGCTTCCCTGCCATTATCAGGAAACATCCTGTGCCAGACCTTTGATATTCAGCTGAATTAATCCAATATAGAAAAAGGCCTTTTCTCTGAGTGGTGAAGCTCAGTGAGGAGTTTGCAGGTCTGAGCAGTTTGAAACTTCCCTATCGGCCTTATTTGCATCCCACCCCAGGTGTAAGTGGCACAAAGTGCCCAAGCCCAGCAAAGGGCAGATATTCTGCAGTGACAGCAGTGCACAGTGATGACACAGGACCAAGAGGGACTGAAGCAAACTGCAGACTGCAGCAGATCTGCCAAAAAACATCAATGGCAGCCGGCGCAGCCACTCTCCGAAAATTCCCTTGGAAGTTGCTCCCATGTATATTTGATGGAGCCTGTCTCTGAAGAGCCTGCTTCTTCTGGGTCAATGCAATTCACTGTTTGAAACCAGCAGCCACCATGCAGAGGAAGATGAGGTCTCTCAGTGTTTTAATCTCAGGGTTGAAAAACGGTGGCTCACAACAAGCAGCTTGAGAAGGAATGATGGGATCTGTGCTCGCATTTAATTTTGGAGATATGATTTGTCTCTGGAGCCAAGTCTATATTCATAGCTGGCAGTGAGTGTGGCAGCTGTTTGACTATATAAAACGAGACTACAGGATCATTTTTAGGATAAAAAGTGAAGGCTTGCCAATAAATGTATTTCTATCCTATAGGAGACACGACTTTCAGGCTAAAAAAGGCGAGTACATGTTATCTTCCATTTATAGATCCTCTTCCAAATGTTATGTACAGGTCATAAAGCAAAATTGGGTCTCCAGGAGAATGAAATGTAATTTTATTAGTTTCCTTAGATGATGAAACCCATCTGTTTAGTACCAAAAATTATATAACACCTCATCAAACAGCTTATGGGTCCCATCATCTTATCAGAACTCCAAGGATTCTCGCTCCATTTAGGAATGAGTTGCCATGGGATGGGGTAGCATTTGACTGTGCTTTAAAGACATGTGAGGTTTTTTCATCTCAGCCTGTGCAATTCCAAAAATTATAAACACAAAGGTGACATCCAATTTTGGAACTTCCCTGCCCGTTTTTGATAGCTATCTACCAGGCGTAATTTCCATCGGATTAACCTCATGGTATGGAAAACCAGCCTCAGCTTGAGGGAGGAAAGAATTTCAGAGTCTTCGTGTTGTTATTTCCAAGATAAATCTAGAGACCCGATTCCAAGCAAAATGGAATTTTATATGGGTTGAAACAACAAAAATAGCCCAGCATCTGTTGTTTTTTTTCTGTACTGATGGATGATTTGTCTGTTGACTACCAAATTCTGTCTCAGAATTCACACAGAACAGTGAGAACACCTTCAGCATTTAACTGTGCACATGCTGCAATTGAGAGTGAATTAATAATGGTTGAAAATAGTGTCTCTTCCAAAGTTTACAAACTGTGGGGTTTTTTGTGCTACCCTATGATGAACATGAAGCCAAATCCCCATTTGTGATGAGGCCTCTTACATAATTTAGGCACTGTAAAAAGGTTTTTAATGTTTGTAAATGTAATTTCCGGCTGTTTTCAATTAGAACAGCATGAAAAAGTAATTCCATGCAAATGAGAAAGGGTTTGTGTTTTCCAAAGAGCAGCTTCAGAGGTAACTAAGCCCAGTTAGGGTAAGCTTTTGAAATGTATTTTAGTTGCACCAATAACAACAATTTGGCTGCTTTTAGGTCGTGTAATCTGAACTGATACTGAGTTTAAAGATTAAAGGCCAAGTGCAATCCTCAGGATTTACCAATTAGATCCAACAGGATAAATGTCCTGACTCCCACCCAGAAAGACCAATGGGAACGATTTTAACTTCAGGCATCTCAGTAATCCCTCCATTTCAGGGGCTCTTTCACAGGCTTAAAATAAAGCAAGTTCTGTATCAGGGTCAGCGTGTTTGGCAGCTTCTGGAAATGAGCTTTAAATTGCTTTACATCCTGACGAGAGCTCAGCCCTCTTCAATTAAAAATATACTTCAGTTTTTAACAGCAAATGTCATTATTTAGCTGTATTACTGCATATTAGAGACTGGCTTAAATAATTTAAACCCTTCCCATACCGCTTGCACTGCTTGCTCTGGGCTGGGGCTTATGAGCCTGACTGTAAAGGGACAGTCACCACCTTCCATTTCCATTTACATGATAATGATTCACACCCCAAAAGACAAAATGTATAAACCACCCTCATAAGTGTAATATTGCATTTGAATGGCACAGCTCATTCTGACTGATGCTGGTACTGATGAGAGAGGAAAAGTGTTCCATGAAAATGTTGAAGGGAAAAATGATTGAATTCAACTTTGGGCATATTTGCTTTTCTCTCCTTCTAAATATTAACTAAAATTGAAAAGTGAAGAGTGTAGTTAGCTGGAGGCTTAGGGAGAGCTGTGGTTTCATTGAGGAACACTTTAAGGGAACCCCTGCCAATGATGCTGAGGGATCTCTTGAACAGAGTCATCCAAGTGATTGGAATTCCCTCAGGGATGGAGGGCTTATCTGGCAGCATCAGTGCAGGAGGACCGAAATCACCGAGTCAACAGTGAATCAGAAGGCAGTTTTGTGAGCTGTTACAAACACTTACAGAGTCCAATTCTGTCCTCTGTGGAGGTGGTGGACTCATTCCTGCCCTTGCAGAAGGATGTAGAAGGCAGCAATTCACGAGTCCCAGAGCACGTGAGTTCATTTTAACTTCATGCCCACCTGCAAACTCCACCGCCAAGGAGCCAAGATTTGTTTTCTGCAAGCTTGGAGCTAAAAATCCTTACACTTTTAAAGAGTTTAAACTGGAGGTTCCAAATGGAGTAAGCTTGAGCGTGGATCCAAGCTGGCAGGAGGAGCCACGTGTGTGCCCAAATCTGAATGTACTTGCTGCGCTGAGTACAGAGTTCTGTGGTTCTGCACGGAGCGTGTCCCAGCCTGCAGGTGAGGGTAGTTGTACATTTTGTAAAGTCATTTCCTTGTGACTTTACCAGCCATGAATATGTATCACCAGCCATCCTGTGTTCCCCATACAGACAGACACATTCATCTGAATTACAGCAAGAACGAAGCCGAGCTGAGGAGCGAGAGCCCCCAGTGAATCATTCCCGCAATGAAACATTTACCGGAGCTGGGAGCTACTGAGCAAAATGTTCTGTGCAAACATATTCCAGTTCTCAGAATTAACAATGTTTCATTTCCTGTTTATAACAAAGCAACGGAGAGCTGGACAAATGGAATAAACTTTTCAGGCTACCTCCAAACACGGAGATTTCGTGCAGCTGCTGCAGTTTCCTTCTGCCATTGCTGCCTTTTCTCCTCCGGCACAGCAGCACCGTCCAGCTTAGCACAGTCCAGGTGCTCTCAGAGCGACCCAACCTCTGTCACATCACAGAGTGACAGTAGCTGAAATAATCCATCTGCCTCAGCCCCCCAGTGAGCGTGGGCACCGTGTCAGCACAGGAGTTCACTGCAGGATGTTGCAAAAACATGAACGTTTCCTTTTTCCTTACTCACTTCAGTTGGGAGTTTATATAAACCTGGCTGGATTATCATGTCTCAACGCTGTCCCAATATTTACGGTTCTAAAGTATTTAGCTGGCTCTTCCAGAAAATGCGTTTTAATGGAAATTTCTAAAAGAGCCCTTAAAAAAAATGACTCTCCATAAATGTCTTATAGTAACATCTTTACATCAACAAATCTTTCCTGAGCCCTGGCTGTGAAAGCTGAAATCCAAAACCTGGCAACTCCAGCTGATGCTGAAATGCCAGATCACAGGTATTAAACCCATGAAAGGTTGGTTCCGAAATTCAAGATCAAACAAAACGGTCTTCAGCTTAAAGGGGGGGAAAAAACCTGAGTGCACTTCAAAAGCACCACGATATTGCAATGGGAGTCTGAAAAAATTAATCCAGGCATTAAAAGGAAGGAAGGAAGGAGCTGTTTCAGGGACATCTGGGCGCTCCCAGTGAGAAAACAGGATGCGTGGCATGAGCGTGTTTGGCAGCGTGTTCAGCTGGGGGACCTTTGGCCAGGCTGAAACGGCCACCCGAGCACCGAGGGGCTGTCGAGGCAGGTGGGGGACAGAGCTCACAACGTGTCCCCCAGGGGCTCCCAGGGTGTGGCCAAAGGGCTGCATCTCCAAACCCTGAGATGGGGCAGAGCCAGGGGCAGACGTGGCCCTGCGGATTGGGAGGTTTTCTGTGAACAGCAAATGGGGTTCATTGTTTAACTTGAAGTGCAAAGTAACATTTAACAGAGTGAATTCTGAAGAGTCGTTGCAACAGCCCAGTGTTGGTGTTTGCTTCCTGGAAAGGGGGGGGTGACAGTTCCATGTGTGATGCCCGTGACGTCCACAGGCCATGAGGAAAGTTAAGCCAGTAAATGCTAAATAATAGACTCTGCAACAATAACCGTGTTGAGCCAGGACTTGTGGTCTCAGTAATAAACCCTGGGAGAGTGCTAGGTTTGAAACCATACCCAGCACACTGGGGCTTTTATTTCCTTGTAATTTTACATTTTATTCTCAACTAAGCCCAGCTCGTGGGTTCTGATGTTTCTGCTCTGTTGGCAGAAGTGCTATTTTTAAATCACTCTGCACCTGGCAATAATGTATTGCAAATACAGGGGAGGTTTTGCTCCTCTAGCAAAAGGATTTGCCAGATGGGCTTTCCTAATAAATTGTGTCTGATAAAAGGACGAGAAGGTTATTTAAACAAAAAAGATTTTAGCTATGCCATTACATTTGAAACAGATTGAGGATTTTGCCAGTAGATAAATTAAGGGGAAAATAGTGGATAGAACTCAGTATTCTTTGGATGATGGCTTCTCCAGGAAGGCAGGCATGGGTGGCTAAAAGCAAAAATAAGGCACACACAAAATTAATTATCTAAAGAATAACACAGAACTGGGGCCAGAGCGAAGCTCAGCTTGCCCAGTTTCTAGTCATGGACAGAAATATTTCAAATATTGTGCCATGAGTGCTGCCTAGAGAAGCAGTTGCTGGGTACCGATGTAATTTCTGCTTGGTTTAGATAGAAAATTATCGGCCCTGCTTTATTGCTTCATTTTTTTGGTTTAGGAGGACTTTATAGGCCTAACTGCAGAAAGGATTCCAGGCTGTGAGTCCCAATCTGGCAATTTGAATGAGTTAGGCACAAAAAAAAAAATCACTCATGTTTCAGTTTCTCACTGATTTCAGGAGGCTTTGGAGCAGCACTGAAGAGCAGGAGATGGACAGTCCTGGTCCCACCAAGGTCCCTCTGGCATGGCAGGTTCTCCATGGCTGTGACCAATAGCACAGGCCTGGGAAAAGTGTAAATACATGCAAAATATAGAGAAAAATAGAGAGATTCTTCTCCTAAATACTTCCTGCTATGAACAGGAAGTGTTTTAGCAAGGCACAGATTCTGTCTCAGCAATTGCTGAAGCAATTGCTGAGACAGAATCTGTGCCTTGCTAAAACGGTCCAAGATGGTTTTTAACCCCTAATTTTTTAGCATGTGGGTAGATAAGCCCAGTGCTTTTGGTTTGAGTGATGATGACAATGATAACAGCTCACCTCTTTTAGCCATTTGTGCCCTTCAAACTGATGGACCAGACACTGAGCTCTCGAGTTCCCTTTGCCCCTCGTGCCACGGCCTTTGAGCCTCAGCTCCCTGAGCTCCGTGAAAAATTGGGAACACCCCGATCTTTCCCCACAGCAGCCTGGAAATCTGCTCCTCTGAGCCCTGCCTTGCATCCTTCAGGCTCCCACCAGGATGGGAATGGGGAATGCTTTCAGGAGGGCAGGAATTTCCCCAAGAAGCTCCTGGGTGGGAGTTGCCCGGAGGGTCCATCAGTGCCTGACTCTGGGCTCGGGGCTGGGAAGCCCAAATCTTGGTGTCCTTCAAGGGATTCAGGGACACAAAGGTACCATCTCAGGGTGCAGCTGGGAGTGATATCAGGGATGAGTTGCATTGATTTGAGGGCCACCAAGTCCAGATGATTGCCTCGGTGTGTCCCCTGGGCCGGGTTAAACTCACCAAAGCTGTGCCTGAGCAGTGGGGCAGGGCAGTCCCTCAGGAGTTCTTTTGTGTTTGCAAGGTCTCAATCCTTGATCCTGACTCAAATTGATTCCATTAAATCCCTTTGGACTGCGCTGAAGTTATTCCATTAAAGCTCTGGTTACCTCGGAAAGGAAATAAAGTACGACACTCAGAGTTATTAAAGAGTGTGTCTGAAATGCTGAATCAAGGCACTGGGTGTGTGCAAGGAACAGCAGACCCTGCCTTATAGGAAACTATTTTCCCTTTCAGAAATACTTATTTTACCCTTGGAATATTTTGTAGGGATGTTTGAAATCGTATTTTCTGTAATTATTTCCTTATTCAAGGAGCCACCTACTAGAATATTTTGTCTTACTTCTCTGAATATTTTGTCTTACTTCTTCCCTTTTGTTTGTTTTTTTCTTTTTTTTATTAGTATTATTATTCTATTGGTTGCTTCAGGCAGGGATCAGTTAGAAAAGAGCTCTTTCACCCAGAAAACATCCCCCTCATGTGACCATGAGCTGGGGAGGTGTTGCTCTGGTAGATGATGACACTGAATTGTTCTTATGGTGATTTAACATTGAAACCTTCTTGTGCTGTGAGCCTGAAGTCTTCACTTAGCAAAGCCTGTGTCAGCAGTAAAAGCAGTGACTTTCACAGAGGGGAAAGACCGTTCACCTCATTAGGGGGGGTGTGGAGGAGCTTTAATGGCAGAGCTTCAGTTTGTGGATAAAAGCAGAAGCCAAGTCAGGAGATGAACATCAGGGAGCAGGAATGCTGAATGATGTGTAAACTCTCACTGAATTAAAGAAAATTAAGGTCAATTTTTTTTTTTTTTAGTTTTTCTCCTGATTATCTTCAGCATAGCACATAATTAAAGCACAGATTTAAATGCATGTTTAACTGCTTTTCTAGCAAAGGATCTTCCCAGATCTCAGCTCTGGGGAAGGAACCCAGCTGAGCACTGGTGGTTATTCTTGAGGAGAGATTTTAGAAGCTCCACTATGAATTTTCTGAAATGACATTATTTTCAAGTTCTGAAAAGCAATGCTTAACTGTAAATTATTTCTATTTACAAGATATAATTAGCAGGATTGGACATAAAGGGAATTGGAATGATACCAATATGGAAAATCAAACTTTGATAGATAAAACTGCTTCTTGTACAGACTTTAAGGATGAACTAATGTCTTTAATGGTTTTATGAAATTATGTTGTCATTTCAACACCAATTTCTTTGATTTTCTGGTTTGTGAAAGAGAGGCAGGGTTGGAATTAGTGTTTGCCCATGAGCCAGTTATAACCAGAGAGGGCTAAACTGGAGGACTTCCCAACTGAGGTGCCCAAGGGGCTGTCCAAGTTCCCAGGGTCACATCAGTGCTGAGGTGTCAAAGGCCCAGTTGGCCACCATTTCAGGAAGATGGGAGTGGGTGGAAAGTACAAGTACACCGAGGGAGAGTGGAAAAGCAGGCTCTGAAGAAGCCACTTTTTGTTTCCAAAGGCCAGAAATAACCCTTGGAGAGCACTGCACTGCAATGACTTGCAATAACAGATTGTCCTGTGGCAGAAATCATCCCAGCTGATGTGACTGTCACTGCATCTCCAGGAATACCCTGCCGTGGATTCCCTGCCAGGGTTGGATTTTAGGATATCTTAGTGCTTGTTTAACTCAGTTCCCTGTTCATTTTTCAAGATGCTTGTTGGCATGGTTCAATATTTTATGTCCTGTCAAAACATTTACTTTGGCAAACTGGCAAACACAACTTCTCCACCTGCATTTCCCCATGCGTTTTGTTTGTTTTGCAGGATCCCAAATATTTCAAGTCACAGAAGACTGGGAGAGGCCAGTTGAAAGAAGGCTGGAGAGAGACCCACCAGCCAATCATGTGCTCCTACAAACTTGTGACTGTGAAATTTGAAGTCTGGGGACTTCAGACCAGAGTAGAGCAGTTTGTGCACAAGGTCAGTGAAACAGGAGCTGTTTCTTCCCCTTCCCATGAGCAGAACCTGAGCGCACACAGGAATGTGGCTCTGGCTTTGGAGAGGCCTGGGAGCTCAGCTGAGGCTACTTCAGACCTCTCTCAGAATTCCTTACCAACAGGTAGTGGGAAAGTTTTCCAGTCTACTGAACAATTAATTAATGAATGGCATAACAGGCAAATGATAAGATTTTTCAGAGTATTGACCTTCCACGTGTTTAGAAAAAACAAAGAAGGAAAAAGTAGTGATGCAGAATGTCTAACTGCCCAAAGATTAATGGATTATATACACATTCCCAATGGATTCCATGCTAGCCAAGGCCATCCAATGTTGGCAACAGATCCATTTCCAGTGGGAGACTGGACTTGGAACCCTCCCGAGCCAGCACGTCTGACTCTCCAGGGCGTGGCTTTTTAGAAGCAAAACACGGTGATTTTCACTCCCAGTGGTGTTGAAAGACAGTGGTGTTATTTTCTGGGGTGTTTTGTTGCTGTTTAACCCTTTCCCTGTTCGCAGGTGGTCAGAGACATCCTGCTGATCGGGCACCGGCAGGCGTTCGCCTGGGTGGATGAGTGGTACGGTGAGTGAGCTCCAAACCCGGCCCCTTTCTGAGGGCTCCTGCAAAGCTGCAGATGATTAACAGCAGATTTCCAGTTGATTTCCTGGACCATCGTGTCCAGAGAGGTTGTGGACTCCCATCCCTGGACATGCTCCAGGTTGGACAGGGCTTGGAGCATCTGTCCAGTGAGAGTTACTGGGGTGCAAAGTGTCAGCTGCCCTTCAGCAGTTCCTGGGGATGATGACAAACGGGCAGCCCTGAAGTTAAACTGGACAGTTTAGCACAAAAATGTTTCGCCACAGGTTTTCCCCTCCCAACTCTGAAATCACCCTGCCAAAAGGACTGAATTATTGTGGTGCACAATTCCCTCGTGGGAGTTTTGTTAACTAATGCAGTGAACTTTTAGAGCTTTAATGATTAGGCAAAGTACAGCACCTAAAAAACATGGCCTCGTTAAACCAGATATGAGAAAAAACTCGGTGTAGAGCATGAAAAATTTGATTTTTAAAGTCTTCTAACATCTTTAAAAATTAAAAGTTTGAGAAAGACCTGGAGATGATGGGAGTAAAGTGAATGAAATAATCAGTGTGGTAAACAATGTGTTCTGTTGTGGATATCAATGACTGGTTGCTGTGACTGACACCGTAAGTATGAATGTCTTGCTATTAAATTTACTAAACCATATTTAGCTTTATTATGAAGAAACCCCATTTTCTCAGTGTTGTTCACTAATAAGGAGCATGTTCTCTGCTTGGCAAAGTGCACCCCAGCATGTTGCTGACACGGCTTCTCAGCTTGTTTTTCTTTCCAAATAACAGTAAAAGACTGAAAAAAAGTAGGAATTAGTTTTATTCCACCTTTCCTTTCCATCAGAATTTCAGACTGCATTTCTTTTTCCTGAGGAACTGTGACACTGTGCTGCCAATAGAATGGCTGAGGTTGTGTCTGTCCCTAAAAGCTGCCTCACAAAATGCAGCAGGAGCCTCCTGGCACGGAACAAGGAGTGGTGCGAGACAAGAATTTGCAAGTCCTGGTGGCACATCATAAACTTGGGAAAAATGGGAGCCCCCAGAGCAGATCACACCGTGCGGGACCAAAGGGGCACCCATTTGCAAGTCGACCGCGCCAATAAAAGGCTCTTGAAAGTGCCAGGAGTAAAAACGTCGCTGGCTGGTTTTATGAGGCTCTGAAGTTACCAAAGCCCTGTAAAGACCAGACCAAAATCCTCACACCACTCCTGTTCTGACTCCTTCTGATCCCAAGTGGATTTACTGAGAGCCTGGGAATACTCAGAGGAGCAAGGTCACAAGTCAATTATTGGATTCTTTCTGTTTTTACTGGAGTTGTGGTTGATGACAAATCCTGTTAAATCTGTAATTATTGCCTGGTGTTACGAGACAGACTGAGCTGCTTGGACACCCCAGCCAGGCCTGGGCAGTGGCAAAGGATCCTGCTGAGGGGATCAGCCTGATTTGTAGGATATTTCTAATTCTTCTAATTCACTAAATTGCTTGAGGCTCCAAAACTCTTATTGTAGTCACTATTAATTCACTTCCCCCTGTAACTAAGTGTTAGTTACTGCAATCTAAACTGGGGGAGGGTGGTTCTAACACCGATTTGCTGGTGATGAGATGTGCAATGCAAAGATAACATGAAATCTTTTTGCAAGGGCTGGCAAGGTAAGTAAATATTTACAGTCTTTGTAATATTTTCTCTCCTTTATTCCAAGGGATCTTCTAAAACCTCCTTAGAAGATCCAAGGCCTGCACTTCAGTTCTTCCTGCCTTCCTTACGTTCCACACGCACTCCTAAACAATTTCCACTCCTTCCTGTTCTCTGGCTCCCTTTGACTTCACCTCCTTGCACCTCCCTTGGCTGACACAACTACCTTTATGAGGCAGTTTTCATAAAGCTAGTTGCTCCTTGCTTTTTTTTAAAAAAAAAAATCCTTTTGTTGGCTTCTGCTGAAAGACTTTGTGTTCCTAGAACCTTCTCCTTAAAAAAAAAATAATAAAATAAAAAAAACAATAATGATATAAAAAAAAATTAAGTTTGCACTGAATCAGTGGAAAATGCCAAACAATTTTGAACTTTTTGCAGATATGACTATGGATGATGTTCGAGAATACGAGAAAAATATGCATGAAAAAACCAACATTAAAGTTTGCAACCAGCATTCATCTGCTGTGGATGAAATAGAGAGCCATGGCAAAGCAAGAGTAGGTCCACTTTTAAAACATCCTCAGCTAATCCACCTGCACAGACCAGAGGAGAGCAACCAGCTGGTCTTGCTGATCAGCCAGTGGAATTTTGGGGAGGTTTTGCCTTCAGCAGGAACAGAATCTTTCTCCAGGAAGTGCAATCCTGCCTTTGGTTTGCACTTTCAACCTGCCAGTGATGGAAGGAAGGGTGGGGTTGGGCTCCCTGTCTTCCAGGAAAATGATGCTCAAATTTCAGTTGGGTGCATAAAGAGGAAGTTAAAGAGGAGTTTTCCTCCTGTTCTTTAAACAGTTAAAAAGTGCAGGAGTTCACAGTCAAAAAGCCAGGAATGGGGGGGAGTGGAAAATTGCTGTGGGACTGCTGAAATTCTTTGCTTCACCAGGAAAAAAAAGAATCCAATGAATCACTCTTCTCTAAGTAATTTTATTGTTGTCATTGACTGACCACCAGCAAGGTGGGAAGTGTTTTCAGAAGTATTTAACAGCAGTTTGTGGGGAAGGGCAGGTTTCTGTGCAGGTTCTTTGATTGAAATTCTGAACATTTCATGAACTGTTTTATTTCCTAACTTGAGCACTAAAATTAGAGATAGTTACTCTCTGCAGATAGAAAAGATGCAGTGGTCTTTGCTTTTGAAATGTCATTATTCCTTTATTTCTGCTCCCTGCTCTGTGGAACTCAGTGATGGTTTTAGGGGTGTAACGAGTTGGGGCAAGGTCTGAAGGGCTCCAAGTCTTGGTGTTGACTCAGTGCCAGTTGTCACCAGCCTGAGAAGGTGTTGTCTGAGTGGTCAGCAGGAAGGTAATTCTTGTCTTTGTAATGCAGCAGCTTCACTGACATCAAGGTTGCCCTCCTTAGCTGAGAATTAGTTTGCATTTTGGCTCCACACTTCAGGATTTGGCTCTGAGTGAAGTCTGTTGTCTGTAGTTCCAATGTGGAATAATTGTCCTTGAGGTCAGAGCAGAAGTTGTCAATAATGGAATTTAAAAAAAAAAAAGAATCTGAGTGGGTACAGCTCCTCTGAGACCACCTGTTTATGGCCACAGTTCTCAGGTTTGAGAACAGCTTCCACCTCCCTCCTAAGACCTGTGGGCTGGAGAGGTCCCTGGAATGTCGATGCAGGGAAGAGGGAAGGCAGCTGGCAAGGTGCACGCTCTTGTTTATTTAATATCATCTTGGGATACAACAAAAAGCTGCTCTTACATAACGTTTGCAGCCAGGGTGACACGAGCCTGCAGCTGGGTGCTGATGGAAAGTGTGGGTGGATGCCCTGGAAGTGCAGGGCTTTGTGGCACGTTTGGTCACCACCACTGCCAGTCCAGTGCCACAGACACCCAAAGGGGCAAGAATTCTAAATTGATGAAAAACCTAGTGGCTTTATTTCTGGTTTGTTTTTGGTTTTTTTTTTTTTTTTCCCTGAGCTTTCAGGGCTCAGTCTATAAATGGTTTAATGAAATACTTCGAATTCACGGATTTCCCGTGACATTCAGTGCAAACCCTCGGTTGGCTCGGTGGGCGTCTTTGCAGGCACTGCGGGCGTGGAGCAGCAGGTTCCACAAGAGCCTTCCCGATTTTCCGCTCAACTTCCCGGTTTGTAGCAGATGTCAATCCTTTGGGATCGCATCGGGAAAGTTTCGCAGGGCTGGGCTCAGGCAGAGCCCGGGATCGCTCTGCCCTCTTGTGGGGTTCGGCAGCACCGGGACACCTCTGGCACCTGCAGGACGAGAATTCCAGGGATCCCATTATCCACTCACACTGGCTTTAACCTCTCCGCTCGTTTCGATTTGTCACTCGGCCGTCAGTGTTTAAGTGCGGTTTTGGGGTGGAAAGTTGGAAGGCACGTTGTGGCTTTGTCGAGTGAGAGGGAATTCTCCAGGCTTTGACAGTGGAAATGTAGCTGCATGAAGCTGCATTTACAAGTCAGTGGATGGAGAGAGATTTTTTTCATCCCTTGATAATTAAGGCAGATGAACAAACCCATGGCAACCCTTTACCCATTTGGGCTCGTGACCTAAACGGGAAAAAAAACCAAAAACACTCAAAACCCCTTTCGGTTTTATTTTGCTTGAAGTTCTGAAAAATTCTACCTGCTGACTGTTTACCCGCTGTGCAGCAGCTGGATTTTCCCAGCGATTCCAGAGGCAGCAGTCTTTATTCAGCTCAGACCCAGGTAGAAGGACCATTGGGATGTGACTAATTTACTTAAAACTTTGTTTCCTTTGCATTGTGCTCTTTGTGCTCCAGTCAGTGCATTACAGTGGGGGGTCATTCACGTGGAGAATCACTTAATGAGATGCATGATAAGCAATCCTTCTCGATTTAGAATTTGGATGGAAGTAGTTGAACTGAGCTAGTGAAGTTATTTGAAATTGTTCTAACGTGCCTTTGTGTTTCGTTCCCCCTCGCTGAAGACATGACAATGGATGAAGTCCGAGAGTTCGAACGAGCCACTCAGGAAGCCACCAACAAGAAGATCGGGGTTTTCCCACCGGCAATATCTATCTCTAACATTTCCATGCCTTCCTCGACCCGCAGTGCTCCATCCAGTGCTCCATCGACTCCTCTCTCCACAGATGCTCCTGACTTCCTAACAGTTCCTAAAGACCGGCCTCGGAAAAAGTCTGCTCCAGAAACTCTCACCCTTCCAGATCCAGCCAAGAAAACCTTTTAAATTAACCCTGCATGTTTCCTCCTGATAAGCCATGTCTGCCACAGCAAGAGTGACATAACTCAGTTGCTACAAAGGTCTTGGTGGTTTGTTGGTTGGTTTTTTTTGTTGTTGTTTGTTTGTTTTTTCCCTTGCTTAAAATAATCTTCCCGGTGTGGAAAGGTGACTTCTTTCCTCAGACTCGATCCTTAAAACCTTCTGAGAAGTGCATGCAAGAGAATGTAGTTTCTATATTCCTAAAGTAGTGTTTCAAGCCATATGGTGCATCTTTACTGACATCCATGGAAAAGTCTGAGGGGATGCTCTAAATGAAAATCAATCTTTCTGTAGCAGAGTTCTGCCTGCAAACCCTCATCTAGGTCACAGCATTTATAATTAGGAGTAGGTATTTAGTAAAGCTGCCAAGGACTTCTGAGGCAAATTAGTGCCAACTCGAATGCAGGGTTAACAGGAAAAAAAAAAAAAACTCCCATTCTCTTCTTTTATAGCTGATTTTAAAATCCTTCCTACTCTCAGGCTTCTCCTAAGTGTGTTTAGAAACCTTTGACCTGTAACTCATTGTACTGGAACACCAACAGATTCACATTTCTCTCAATATGACTCAGGATTTGGGGCCTAAAATGCAAACCACAAATCTTTTCAGTCCTAAAGTATCACTGTATCAAAGCCCCACTTGTAATTAATTCTATTGACTTTGAGGCCATTGAACTATTTCTATCTCGCACAGACTTTGTAAGAGAAACCACCTATTTCTTGTAGATAATGTATTTTCCTAGCTCTGCCCTGTCCCTCTGTGAGCTCAGAGTCCTGCTGGTGTTGTCAATGGTGTTCTGTGAGTGAGGGTGACAAAAAGCAGCTGAAATGTGCCAGTTGAGAAGCAAACCCAAGGAATTCTGGCTTTTCCTTTGCTGGAAGAAGAGTGGTAGTCAGGCTGTGGAACCTTGGATGTAAAGGGAAGAAAATGTGAGAGGCTCTTTTTTCTCTCCTGCCTCACATCTTTCCTGAACAGCACAATCTGCTGGATCATCTGGGGAGGTGGGGGGGACACAAAATCAGCCACTTTAGGAAGCAAATGAACCATGGGTGACCTTGAGGAACCAGGAGTGCTCCTCCTGGTCTGGCTGTGCAATCACTCTTCAATCTCAGGAATTCAAATGGAGACAAGGATGTTTCCCAGAGGGCAGTGTAGGTTGTGGAAGGAGGAGTAAAACAAGTGGCAGGAGGGTTCTCTTCTTCCCTTCCAGTTCAGAGTGTGAACTCGGTGAGACTCTTTCCCTGCTGACTTTGCTCTCTCCCACACAAGTTGCTGGTTGGAGGCTGCTGGCAGCACCTGTCTCCTGGTGGCTGCTGTTCAATCCCCAGGGAATGCCAGCTCCCACCTGGAGCAGGGGCAGAGCAGGTGATATTTTGTACCAGTGCTGACAGTGGTGCGTGGATTGAAACGGGATGGATGTGAGTTATGTGGAATGTGTGGCAGTTTTAGTAGCAGAAGTGATTCCATTGCCAACCTGCACTGAAAACAGGTGTGTATTTGTCTGAGAGTGACAATCCCATAGCCAGCAAAATCCAGGAGCTCTCTGTGGGTTTGGCTTCCTCTGTTCTCCCAGTCCTGTCCTTGCTTGGCTTTGCTTTCCTTCCCAGAGCTGGGAATTCCGAGGGATTTGTACCCTGATGGGTGACGGTTGGTTTGCTTAAGAAGCAGCTGCTGTTAATGATACAAACAAACTTTATGATTTCACTTTAGCAGGGGTGCAGATTATACAATCATGATTATAACTGGTCTAATCCTGTTTTTATTGTAATTAATTAGTATCACAATTGGAACATTGGAATGAGGAGAAAGGTCCGAGTATTTCAGTGTAACACCTCGAGGCAAAGGGGTTGTTTTCAATACTGACTTTTCCCAGTGCTTTCTGTTGTATTTTCCAACATGTTTATTAGGATTAAAATAGAGTTTTGCAGGTGTCCCTCTGCAGAAATACAAGCTGTGGTTATTTACTGAGTACATCTTCAGAGCACGGTGCCAGGCACCACAGCCGTGTTCCTGTTCCCTGCCAGTGACAGGAATTCCAGGATACAGCTCTGCTGGGACTTGGCAAGGGATTTTTTAATCAAGGACACAGTTCAGAGGGAAAAAATGTGCTTGGTTTGTTGGGGTTTCTCTGAAAAAGCTGCTCCCAGCTCTGCTTGTACTTCCATGTCTTTGGGACAGAACAACCATTACAAACCAACTGGCAATTCAGTGCAGCTTCAGGAGGGTTGAGCTCCTAATAAATCAAAAAGGGAGGCACCCAGAAAGGCTGTGAGGAGCAGCACGTTCCTGAAACACGTACTTAATGGGACTTCTTATGAATGTAATGGTCAATTTTGTAAATGACTGGATAAATCCTACGGAAAGAAACTATTTGACCTTATTCTTTGCCTTTTTTTTTAATTTTTTTTTTTTTGATTATTCTGGAAGGTGATTTTGTGACATCTAGTAGCCAGTTTGCATTAATTGCTGCTGTAGATACTTTGAAACCGAAATATTTGTTCCTTGGATTTCAGTTTGTAACAGGACCGCTGTACTTTGTTCAAACTGCTTCGAAGCTCGCTGCACTATAACTTCAAACTGATGTGTTACTCTTTGAAATAAGCCAAATGTATATGCTTTTTATCAAATAGTGAGTGCAGTAAGAGAGAATTCATGATCTTGTCGATAGGAGATTTTTCTGTTGCCATTGTTTGGACTTGGTTTTCTATGTGTAAGTTAAAATTGCTAAATGAGTCTAACAATGTTTTGCTTTAAATGAACAGCATGGTCATTGAATTCCGATCTTCTGTAGTTTTGTGCTGTCACTAAAACAGGTTTTCGTTGGTTTATTTTCATTTCTCTGATAATTTCACATGATTCTATGCGTCCAGTAATCCATTTCTTTAATTTAGAGCACTGATGGCAACATCAGGCAATGCATCAGCACCATCCAAGAAGGACCAAGCCTTGATTTGCTCTGCCTGTTAAATAGAGCAAGGCTCAGCAGGAGAATTTGACTGTCATTTTTCTCATTCTTATCACTTAGTTTCTGGGGTTTTTTTTCCAAGTTATTTATTGTTTTTAATATTGTATTTTCCCTTGCATTTTGTTGTAAATAAACTACCAACAACTATTCTTTACAATGGGGACTGTTTTCTCTTAGTGGGTCTCTTCCAGGCAGGAATCTCCTCGTTATCATTTACCCATTAACATTTCTCCCCCCAGCTCTGCAAGCCACTTCCTCAGAGTTAATAGCACAAAGAATTGGCTTTGAAAGGAAAATTTAAAGCATTTCCGACCTCTCCTTGGTCCTGTCATGCCTCAGCTCTGTCAGGATTTCACCAGGGCAGGTGCCCATCAGTCTGGCACCGGCCCATTCACTTGTAAATGACCGTTGGGTTAACAAGGAAGTTTTCCAGTGGGGAATCCAGTTCCCTGTGCAGGGTTTTGGCAGGCCAGTGTTGTAGCAAACAGCTGGAAAATACTGGAAAAGAGACCACTCAAAGCCTCTCAGACTTGTCTCCGGATCAGTTCATTTTATTCAACAGCACTTTCCCTGTACAGGATCTCCTGGAGCAGTTCAGGAGAGGCTTCTCCATAGAAACGCATCTTTCCTGCTCCCGAGGAACGGCTCTGCGGGGTCAGCAGGGAAACGCTCCCAGCAGCTGGGACAGACGGAGGGAACAGGAGAGGACTGGACCCCCAGTGCCCCCAGTGCCCCCAGTGCCCCCCAGTGCCCCCAGTGCCCCCAGTGCCCAGGGCTGAGCTGGCGGCTGTTAGTTTGGCCGGGTGTGTTGTACAGTGCAATATGAACACCCCCAAAATCCTGTCCCTGCAGGTGCCCCCCCGAAGCGGTGACACCGGGCCGGGACCCCTCGAGGGGACAGAGGGGACACAGAGGGGACACAGTCCCGCCCGCGGGGCTCGGCAGGGAGGGGACACCGCACATGTCACGGTCCGGAACCCGGCGGTGTTTTACTGTGGAGATCAAACCCCAGCGAAGCCTTTTGCCCCCGTGCTAATTGGCACAAGCGTGACCCCTCTCATTAACATACAATTAATCCCCTCATTAACATGCGCGTGACACTTCTCGTTAACATACAAGGGACCCCTCATTAACACATGACCTCTTATTAACATGCGAGCCTCTCTCATTAGCGTACATGTGACCCTTATTAGCACACATGTTACCATCTCATTAGCATACACGGCACCCTCATTAGCATATACGTCACCCTCATTAGCATACAGGCGGCACGCCGGGACGCTCCCGTGGGAACGGCCGTGGGAATGAATGATCGGTACCGTGCGGGAAGCCCACTGGGGACAAGTGACTAAGGGCCTGAATCGTGACCGATCCCGACTGCCCCACCGCCTGACGGCGTTCTGAGAGCAGCGATTGATTTTATGGCATTTACAACAGCTACACCGTGCCCCTGCACCCTGTGCCCCTGCGGAGCCTCCCCGCCCGCTGAGGGAAGGGGCAGGCGGGCGGTGCCTCAGCCGCGCTCAGCCGCGGCCCCTCCCGCCGGCCCCGCCCCCGCCGGGTCACGCCGCGCGTCTCGCGAGAGGCGGCCGGGCCAAGATGGCGGCGCTGTGTGAGGGCTTCACGCTGCGCGGGCCCGGCCCGGGCGGCGGCCCCAGCATGAGCCTCGAGCCGGGCCCGGGCCCCGACCTCGTGCTGCTCACCGAGCGCGGCCGCGCCGCCACGCTCTTCAAGGTACCCCCGCGCCTCCCCGGGGGGCGGCCCCGGCCGGCGAGGACCCCGCGCAGGGCCCGGGCCGCGCTCCCTCCCTCATTCCCCCCCTTCGTTCCCTCCCTCCGTCCCGGCCTGACCCGCCGCCCCCGTCCCTGTGCGCCGTTGTTCAGGTCATTCCTCGCTTTGCCGATGTTCTCCCCGTTTCCCATCGCAGCAATCACCTCCCGAGCCGCGGCTAGGGCCGCTCCCGCAGGGCCCGCGGAGCTCCGGGCGCTCGGCGCGGTGTCGGTGCCGGGCTGGCGGCTGCGGGAGAAAGGCTTTAGTTTGCAGTGCTTGGAACTGAAAATGTGTATTGGTGTGTGTAAATTATTTCAGTGACTGTAATAAGAAAAGGAGGCAGATATTTGAGTTTCTCTCCGTAATTGGCTTTCACATCCGTGGGTTTGGGACAAGGGGGAAAGATTTCCAACTGAGAGAGGGCAGGGTTAGATGGGATATTAGGAAGGAATTCTACTCTGTGAGGGTGGGCAGGGCCTGGCACAGGCTGCCCAGAGAAGCTGTGGCTGCCCCATCCCTGGAAGTGTCCAAGGCCGGGTTGGACAGGGCTTGGAGCAACCTGGGCTGGTGGAAGGTGTCCCTGCCCATGGAGGGGGTGGAATGAGATCAGCTTTCCAACCATTCTGTAATCTGAGTGGATTGATGATACTGTCCCCTTTGGGTTGTTCATCCCCACTGCCAAGACCAAATGTGAGAACAGAACTGTGTTATAAATACACCCAGGGTAGGTCTGGAGTGAGCAGAGGGGGTTGAGTGCCCTCAGAGCAGCCTTGGAGTTCCCATATTTTACTGTTCTCATTCACACTAGATGTTGCTGCCTTGCGTTTCTTTTCTGGGGTGAGAAAAGTCCCCAGGGTCACCTGTGTTACATTTGAGTGACAGTGTCTTTGTTCTGACTCCCCCAGATCTCGGATCAGAAGCCCCTGGGCTGTTGGTCAGTGAAACACGGGCAGGTCCTCACCTGTCCTGTCGTGTGCAACTTTGAGACTCACGAGTACATCGCTGTTCACGATGGCAAGGTGAGAGCCCTTACCCTTTAGGGGAGAAAAGGGGATGGGGGGTCCTCTGAGGGAGGGCAGGGGGAAGTTGGCAGTTGCTTCTTCCCCCACAAACCAACCCCCCGGGGCAGTTCCCACTCAAATCCCCGTGGATGCTTTGTGTGTATTTCCCTCCTGGTGCAATTTGCTGATATTTTGGGTGTTCAGAAGTCTGTTTTATTGGCCTTAAAAATGATGCTTCTCTTGAAGGTTTTGAGGATATGGAAGGATGAAGACATTAACTTGGACAAGGCCTTTAAAGCAACAGTAAGTCTCTTCCTTGTGTTTGCTTCTATGGGAATGTTTTGGACCCTGGTGGAGGGCTGAGATGCTCTGATTTTCATAGTATTGGTCAAATTTAGCTGACCAGTTTTAACTTGTGCTCCCTGATGTTGTGGAGTATTGCAAGGAATCCAGTTGGACTGACTTTATCATCAGAATATTGCTCTTTAAACGATTGGTATTCCAAGGCCAACATTTCTGAGGCCTTTCTTTAAAGGTGGTGAATTGCATTCAAATACAGATCTTCGTGTGCTGCTGATGGATGTGTTAAGCAGTACTTGGGGTGAACTCCTGACCCTCAGTTGTGGGTTTTCTGATGCGATTCAGGAATGTGATGCTCCTCAGGACACTGTTCTGGCCTTTTGCTGGGCAGTGATTTGCATTATTGAAAGCGTTTCAGCAAACCAGCAACTGCAGATCTCCGTTGGGGGGGAATCCTGAAGGTTCATCATTCGTCTCTTAGAAGTTTATTGGAAGAACTTTTAAAAAGTGACTAAAGCACTTGCCTTTCAAGGTGATGGAGTGAAGAACACAGGTTTATTTGGGTTCTTGCAGCTCTCAGCAGATGTGCACAGGATACACTCCCTGCCCGAGGGAGGGCCCCTGGTGCTGTTCAGGGGAGGGGGTGTCCGAACTCTGGATGTGCTTTTGGAAGCCCCACAACAAGAGATTGAAAACGTTCTCTCAGATGAAGCCATCTGGTGAGTGATGAACTGGGACACTTCTTGCTCGGAGGAGCTGCCCGTGGTGATGGAGGTTGTTCCCTTGTTGAGGGGGATGGGGAGAAATCGAAGGCCGAGATCTCGGGGCACATCGTTTTTCAAATCTTAGAATTATTTATATAAGTATCCTAAAAATAAGAAGCTGCCTGAAGAATAGAGGTCTGACTTCAGGTATTAATCTCGAATTTGGAACATGCTCATGCAGTTTTCTGGTTTTAGGTGGAGTGGAGCTTTTATGGAAAGTCAGCAGCCTGTCGTAGTTTTTGCTACTGAGAAAGTGAGTCAAATACTTTTCCTTTTTAAAAACTTTCCTAGCAGCAGATATTAATACTTTTTTCAAAGTCCATCAGCTGTTTCATTTGATTTTAAGAGCTTCTGGTGAAATCCTTATCCTGATTTAATCAATGCAGCAGTTAAAGGGAAGCTGTATTGCTTTTAGGGCTTGGCTCTTAAAACTTCAGAGAACAATTAAGAGGAAACTCAGTAGGCATTGTGAGACTCTTCTTTGCTCATTGTGAAGATCTTGTTTAGTAGAATTTATAGTTTTTGAATTATACATGAATCTATCTTTATTCAAATGATTCTTTCCATGAACCCATTTGTTACATCAAATTAGAATTTTCTTTATGTACCACAAATTCCTAATTTTCCGTAACATTCCAAGTTAAGCAGTACTAATATCCGAATTTCTGTTCTCTCTTCTTTGTGTAAATTAAAGGAACACATTATTTTTTGTTTCAGGATGGGGACTTCTTTGTCTATGTGCAGAAACCCAAGGTGGATAGTGTGCACAAATACAGGCTGGAACCACAGGAATCATCCGAACCACTGAGTTTCACAGCATATCTGAAGAACCAAACTATCACACTTCTGTGCTTGTGTAAGTTCCATTTTCTAACAGGGTGTGATAGTGAAGCAAAGATTTGTATGAAAGGATATGAAATGTTGATATTTATGAATGGCTGTTTCATATTTTTAGAAGTGGTAATTAAACCTTCCTGGTACTTTCACTGTTCCCAGCTGTTATCACTTGTACCTTGTAGATCTCATGCTTTGTTTCGCTGCTTTGCATCACAGTTTGTCCTTTAATATCCTGTGTGATTTCTTCCTTTAGCATTCACTGGATTTTGTTATTTTTAGACGTACCTTTGCCATATTGTATCAAATAGTTCTTCCACAAGGGCAGATGATAAAAGAGTAATCGCTTTTTTTTTTTTTTTGGACAGATTCCAACAACTCTGTGTACCAGGTTCTGGTTCCTCTGCACCAAGATGCTGAAGAGAAAGAACAAATTTTGCCCAAGTCACTGCTACTAAACCTTTCAGTGTCTGGAAGTGTTCTGAAAGGATCATGTTTGGTAGTCGTGGATAAAGACCACGTGGCAGTGCTGGGCAGTTTGGCTGCACCTGGTAAAGAACCCAAAGGTAACTGGAAAATCTGAAATTTTCTGAGGCAAAGCACAAGGCGGGAAAATTGGGCTGCCCCTCTTGTTTAAAGCTGTTCACTGGAAAACCAGCTCATCCTTAGACCTTGAGCTCTGACCTCAGTGACACAATTCCTACTGCTGGATACTTTTGAAACAGTTATTGCTGTTGCCTGGGGTGTTTGTTACTGAAAGTAGCAAAGGCAAATGTAGCATTTGGGGTTTGTAACTCCTGTCTCTTTTCCTTAGAGTGCCTGACCATATGGAATACAAAATTTCAGACCTTGCAAACCTCGAAGGAGCTGCCCCTGGGAACCAGTGGCCAGGTCAGTTCAGGCTGGGTTTGTCCCCAGGTTTTGTGTGTTTGGCAGCAGGGAGGGGGGTGTGGGGCTGCAGAGTCTGCTGAGGAGCACTGGGGGCCGCCTCCTGAAGCAAAATTAGTATTGTCCAGTCAGTGGGTTATTTCTGTTGGAATATTTAGCATGAGACTGGTGTCTTTTGGCAGTTTCTTTGGTTAATTTAGTACCTTCTCACTTCTGCTGGTTTGGTGCAAATGAAATCATTAATTAAATACAAAACCCAGCCAGTTGTTCTGTTCAGACAATTAGCAGGTGATGGCCCAAATGATTCTATGATCTCCCTGAACACCCTGAGGTGTCAAGTAAAACAACACCTCAGTAATAAATGCACCAGTGAGCTGGAACAGCTGCCTGGTTTTGTCTTAATATTGCACAAGAGAGAACCTGAAAGGTAAAATTATCAGTGGACTTAATGCCTCAGAGCAGCCACTGTGCTTTAAGACATCTCTGTAAAAACCCCACAGAAAACTTCTAATTTCTGTGTTTAAAACCAAATGGCAATGAAGGTCTGCTAACAAGTGTCAAACCTACTGAAAGTAATTTAAAATAATCTGGTCACTGCCTTTTAGCTGAATTTTACAGTAAGCAGTTCCCCATCAGCTGGTGCAGAATGCACTTCTCTGCTCATCTCATTAATGGTACATTTTAATATTTTAATATTTTGCAGTTGTGGTGTTATGAGGAAAAATTTTTTTTAACTCATGGGAAAGTGCTGACTGTGATTCTGTACAAGTGTGAAACATCATCCCTGGCAGCTGCTGTGGGAAAGCTCAAGGACAGTAAAACCCCTGGTAAGATTTTTTTTTTTTTTAATATATAATTACAGTGAAAAAATCTTGTAAAAGAAGGACTTCTAAATTTGTGTAAAAGTTATTTTAATGCAATCCTATAAAAATCAGTTGATTCTAAACAGCTTGAAGTTACCTAACCCTGTATTGTGTTCCTGGCTGTTAAATTCACTGCTGCTGGGAACACCAAAGCACACAAATATTTGAATTTATTGTGGCTTCCCTTAACCTGGGTTGTCATTCAGATACTGGGAAATTACTGAAAATACTGGTGGAATGCTGGTGCTGAATACTGAAAGCCAAAGGAAGTGCTCTTTCCTAAAATGTGTTTTCAAAGAGTTTGTGATTAGATAGAGCAACACCAAACCTCAGAATGGGAACTGCAGTTTGAAATTGTACTGTCATAGTGGTTTTCATTGAACATTGCACTGGTGGAATGTTCTTGCAGGTAACACTCAGAATAAATTGTATAATAACTTCTTTTCCTCCCAGAGGCAAAATGAAGAAACAGTCTGAGAAAAAGCACAGTGCTGAGATAAAACTGGCCACTTACTTGGCATAAAATCACTTGGATTATATTTCAGAAAGTGTCTCTTAGCACAAGAAGTTAATGCAATATTCCTACTTTAGTGAACGTGCTCTAATTGTTGCCTTCACGTGGTTCCATTTGTGTGTTCCCAGGAGTGTCTGCCTTTGTGAACTGGGATACCCTGGGAAACGAGGAGCGGGTGGTTCCCTTTCAGCCCCAGGAGTCTGTGGCTCCAAAAGCTGAGTCCAGGATGAATGTGAGTTGGCATCAGGCTCAGGGGAGGTTTTTGTTTGTCTTGCTCTTCCCCATGCTGATAATTGTCCTTTTAGGTTGTTGTAGCAGAAGGAGCTTTGACCTTGTATTGCTCGTTGTTTCCAACACTCTTCCTGGGATTGGGGTTACTCGTTGTGTCTGTGCAGTGAGTTGACATGTGAAGTTCCTGATTGTCTTGCCTGAAATCCTTAAATGAACAGTCACTGGAGAGTAACTGTTTGGTTTTCTTTGCCACAGTTAAGGTCAAGAAGGAGTGGTGTTGCCAAAGTACAGCCAGAGAACTTCTCAGTTGGGCAGCTCTTACTAAATCTCAAAGTAAGTAAATCAAATGTTCTCAAGTAGCATTTAGACACTCAGAATATCCCAGGTGTCTCTTCAGCTGTTATCTTTTTCCATGTCCTCTTGCACACATCAGGTTGACAAAGCTGCCTTGAACAGGTGAGTTAAGGATGTTATTAATTGTGCAAGAACAGAATTTGGGCTTGATGAAATTCAGCCTTGTCATAAGGAGGGTGTTTGAGACCTGTACAGTGCAGGGCTTGTAACAGCTGAGTTCTGAAAACTGAGAGATGCACTGCAAATGCAGGAATAAGCTGTTTAGTGCCTTTCTGGGACACGCTGCAGGTGTTGTGGTAGGTTAAGTTTCCCCTCCTGTGTGAATGTACCTGTGGCTGAACACCTTGGGAATGGTCTGATGGGTCCCAGGACAGTTCTCAAACCTGGGCCTTGTGTTTCTGAGTTGCACAATATTTGTCTGTTCCAGGACGCTCCTACAAACGTGTTGGAAAATGAACTGAGACAGCTGATGTCAAGAGCACAGACACCAGATTTACAGGCTGCCATTGGCAGTGTGGTCACTGCCCTGACCAACAGATGTAAAGCAAACCCCAGGTACTACCCTCAGAATTTCCTGCTGCAGATAGTGGAAACCCGAGACTTGTCCTACAGGTAAGGAGTGACTCTGCTCTTTTTAATCTGTAGGGAGTAGTCTTTAAAAATAAAATTTAAAAAGTAGAAATCCCTTTCTTTATAAAGCATTCCTGCATTATCAGAATTTACTGTTAAAGTTGCTTATTTTCTGATGATGTTTTACATAAAAATCCAGCTGGGGGAGCAAGATTAGTGCCACTGCCTTGGTTGTCAGTGTAGTTCTCAGTGGGTGTGAACTGTGCTACCTATTAATTGCTTATTTTTACAGTTTATGTCCAGATTTAATGGCTGTTGCATTGGAGAAAAGAGATTTCTATCTCTTACAAATCTGCTTACAAAAGTTTCCAGATATCCCTGAAGAAATGACCTATGCTTGCTTGAAGGCATTTTTAAGGTAACTTGAAATCACTTCTTTTCTTCTTCACCAACTTTCAATATGAGTTTTTACTTTCATGGTAAGCTTCAAAGAGTGTGCACTGCTGGTGGGTTGATGGCATTGCTGATTTTCAAAGCTACTGATTAAAAGTCTTCCATGTGGGGCTCTTTGTTCTGCAGTGTCGGTGACACCTACCTTCGAGGGACAGACGTGGATCTGGACTCCGTCATCTGCTACATCGATGTGGAGTTCAACAGCAAGGAAGTTAAGACTGAAATTGTAGAAAATGGTTTCAATGCAGAGCTGGATGAGGACATGTGTGATGATGCCAAAATCCCAAGGGAAGGCCGTTCCAGGAGCGATGGGGAATCCTGTCCCATCTCACCTCAGAGGGCAGCACTGTTGTATCCTCTGTGTGGTGAAGCAAAGCCAGTGCACTGTGTGTGCTGTGGATGGTTCTCTTTGACACATCTTCTGTTGCTGCTGAAAGTTTTGGATGAGAGAAGTTCTTACTCAGTAGAAACATCATTTGGGATGTGGAATCATTTAATAGTTTGGGTTGGAAGGGATCTTAAAGCTCATCCAGTGCCACCCCCTGCCCTGGGCATGGACACCTCCCACCAGCCCAGGTTGCTCCAAACCCCGTCCAACCTGGCCTTGGACACTTCCAGGGATGGGGCAGCCACAGCTTCTCTGGGCAACCCCACCCTCACAGAGTAGAATTCCTTCTAACATCTCACCTGATTCTTTCACTTTGAGTTATATAAATAGAAAATGTGTATCAAAACATTACAAAAACGTAACGAGCTACATATATAAAATACATAACTCTTAGAACGCATCTACACCAATGTAAATATACATTACTGCAAAAGTGTTCTCTGTTCAAGAGAAAATGGTATCAGGGATTTGGATGTTTGCCTGTTGAAGCACATGAGCCAGTTGCATCCTTGCAGTGAACACAACTGGTCAAGGTATGATGTTTTAGTTGGTGACTGTATTTTGTGACAGAAATAAGGATGATTCAAGTAGCACTTGTCTCAAAGAACCTGCAGAAATATTTAGAATTCACTCTGCTTTGTAGAAATGCCATTTTTCCTGCAGTTTTATTCCCTTAATAATAGCTCTGCCCAGAAATGCTGTTCTCCATTCAGCTTACAGTGAAACGTTTCTCTTGCCTCACCTGAAAAACCTCCCAGCTCAACAAGCTATTGTAAGTATGTGGGCTTTGAAAAGTGGGAAAAGCTGTGTTATTTTGGGGGGAGAGAAAGAAAAGAGGGGTTTTCAATTGTATGTGAGAAACTCACCGCTCTTACTGGAGTCTGAATAACAAATTATTGCACCAAAATTAAATGAAGGGGCCTAAGAAGATTTAATGTTAAGGAATGTCGTGTTTTTCCACGTATGTATGGAAATTTAAATGATTTTTGTAGTTCTTGCTTATTTTAGAACATAAGTAAGAAACCCTCTTTATGACCCAGCCTACTTGGAAAATGCTGTTCATATTTTGTTAGCAAGTAGTGGTGCTTTTGTTTATTTAGATGCTTTTTAAGAAAAGAACAGGGTTTGATCAGTTCCATCAGGAGCAGAAATCTAGAAAATATGAGAACCAAACTGTACACTCTGTGTAATGTCAAATGCAATACAGATTAAGATCTTCCCAGAACATCTCAGTTGAAGGAAAAAACCCCACCAAACTCCCCTGTTCCTCAAAACCTGAACGATGCCTTCAAGAACTGCATGTACCTGTGGTACACCTGCAAATGACTGTGGCTTTCCAATGACTTCAGAAAAACCATCTCAGCACTGCCACATCTCCTTATTGACCTTATTCTGACCGTTAGCAATTTATTTTGGGGTACTGAAAGTGAAAGTGGGAGGAAGATTGTTGATGTTGATACAGTTTTTAGGAAAGTTCCTAGAAAGGGCTGTGTCTGAGTGACATTGCACTGGAACAGTGATTACCTCTGACTGTAATTTACACTGAATATTGCTGAGACTTTTCAAACATCGTGCTCTGGATGGTGTAAGAGAACCATAAAGCTTGTTTTTAATGTGTAACATGCAGATATCTGTGTTGCTTTAAAAAACAAAAGAAAAAGAAATCTTCATGAGTGTTACTCTGAGCAGGACAAAACCCCTCAGTCTGTTCAAGGTTTGCCCTTTAAAAATGTTCTGACTTCTCTATTTTTAGCTGTTCCTCAGGTATTTGTATTACCTGTACGTGAAATGCAGTGAAAAAGTGAATACCACTCTTCCTGGAGTTCGCTCTCCCACTATAAACCAGGTGAGAAATTCACTCTAAGAGTTGTGTTTCCTTCTCTTTCTGTGCCGTGGAAGTTGGTGAGCAGTTGTGAATATCTGAAATCAGCTGACATCTACACTCCTTTTAGAAAGTATTGTCTGTTAATACAACCTGTGTTGCCAGATGTAACGCTGCAACAATGAAAACCCAAATTACTGCTGTAAAAAATGAACCCCTGCGTTTTGCATTAGAAATGAACGTTTCAGAGCTGAGCTTTTAAAGCAGAATCTGTGTCATTTGCAGAGTGTGAAGTGCAAGTGTTCTTTTCTTTTTTTTTTGTCTTCAGATCATGGATTGGATGTGCCTGTTACTTGATGCTCATTTCACAGTCATGGTGATACTGCCAGAAGCAAGACAGTTGCTGTCAAAGCTGCATAAGTTTGTGAGAGCCCAAGTAAGTGGCACCTTCTGGGATGATTATTTCCTTTTCATTTGGGTTTAGAATGTGGGTGGAAGCAAACAGCAGCAAATGATGCAGTGAATTAAATAATGCCTGTCCTCCTCTGTGTGCTCCTTCCTGAGCAGGAAGTGGCAGTTGCTTCTGTCTCATTGTGATTTCAGAAGCTGCTGTGTTTGTTTGGTTTAAATATCTGTAACTGTGCAGAGCCACAGAGAGTTCCACAGGATGATGGTGCATGAAAAGAATTAAAATGTGTTTTACTATAAATGTCTATGTTTTCTGGTTTTTTAGGTGAGGTTCTACTCTGAACTCAACAAGATTGAAGGAAGTTTGAGGGAATTGCAAAGACTCAACCACCTGAGAGACTCTCAGACCTATTCTATTGAAGTGCTGGAAATCATCTGAATTGGAAATTCACAATTAACACATTTATTTTGTATTGATTCCTTTGCTGACAGGGATATATTAGCACTCCATATTGGGGATGTGAAAAGCTGTTTTCTACATAGGAGGAGCCCAGTTACTCTGTAGCTACGTGGGGGTTGGAAGTTTGAAAGTGGTGTATTAAAAGCTCTCTTTTTGACTGGATGAGAAGCTGGGTGCTTGCTTATATTTTCCTGTCGAATTTTGATCCTTTATCATAGGAACATCCTAAAATACCACCTGGTTCTTGGCCAAACACGAGGTGGTCGTGGCAGAAGTGCTGGGGGCACTTGCTGGACTTGGGCTGTGTAACGTGGAAAGAGCCTTAAGACACCTTGGAAGTTGTTCCAGTTGTGTTTATACTGTTTGTCAGTACCAAATGTATATAAAAGTAAATTTTTTTAAAAACCCACTGCAATGGCAGCTGAAGATTCATATAGAGGGGGACTTCTTGGCACTGGTAGCAGTTGTTTTCCATTTTCTGAAAAAGAAAACTCAGAATTAAAAATAAGAACATTCTTACCTACATCAGTTTGTTTTCTCCAAGTACTTTTTCAACTAATGAACACCTCAACTTATTTAACCCCATCTGTACCACTTCAAATATATCAGAGTTTTAGATTGGGTTTGACTCTCTTGAAAATAAAAAGTGATGAAGTTTTATGAAAACATTTAATGAAGGGTTTTACAGGTATAAGCACCTGTTGAATTGTGCTTCTGATGAAAAGTACAGACAACAGTTTGGAACAACTGGGCTGTTCATCTTCTCCCAAGTGCCCTGTGAAAGGCTTTTTCTCCATCTCTCCTGAGCATGGAGGCAAGGTAGGGCCTCCACCCAGAAATTTCTCTTCCTGCTATACTCAATTCAGCAATAAATATGCTCATTTAACCATACCAGCACAAAGGAACTGCAGGTTCCTAATCAATATGTTCTATTCTGAGTGGATGTGAGGAGGTGAAGGGGTTAGGGTTGATTTCTCTGTACTGAGCAGTGTGCTGGAAAGGACTAATTTATAGTCCTGACCCTGGAAGTTAATGTACCTCTCCCTGCATCCATTTCTCCACCTATAAAATTATTTATGTCCTGCTCAGCGAGCACTCCTACATCACCAACTGCTAAATAAGAGAGGGGATGAAGAGACAAGGTATTGTGATTCACAGCTCAAAAGCAAATGTTGCTGAGCACCTTTGATCTGCTCCAGGTACACAGAATGCGCGGTGTTTCAGGGATGGTGATGCTCTCAGTGCTGCAGGCTGTGTGATTACTGCAGTAGATGCACCTTTGGTGGATTCTCAGTGTACAGAGGGCAGAATGCACAGATGGTTTTTCCAAGATGACAAAAAGGGAGATAGTGAAATAACCCCTCAAAACGTGTATCTGTGCATTCATGTGTTCCAAGAGTTACCACGACCCTTTGCAATCTTGTAAGAGGTTGCAAAAATTAGCCTGACATAAGCAATCTAAAGGTAACTTTGGAAGGTTCAGAATGCAAGTTGAGTCTAAAGGTGTAAATGGGGTTGGGCAACATTGTTGCTGTGCGTGTCTCATAGCGTGTTTAGACCAAGGTTCATCCTGTGCAGCTGCCACAATGAGAGAGGTGCAGGTAAAAAGCTGGATGTGAGAGTGCAAACTGGGCTAAGGCCTGCTGCCATTGCTGCACACTTGCAGGTTTGTGGGTTTAATGAGGTGCTCGGCTTGAGCAACAAGTTTATGAACAAAAGGCACTCCAAAAACAACTCTGGAAGAATGGAAATGACACATTGGACACGGAGCTGCCACGCTTGTGTGCCAGTGTTGGGGTTTACCTTGCTCAGAAGCATAAGCAAGGGACTGAGAGAAGATGAACATGTGAATGGACTGATTTGCCAAGGATAAAGCTTCAGGCTCTCTGGAATCCCAGAGCTGTGTCGCTTTAGCAATGACAAGAAGGCTGGTTGTAAGAAAAGCAAGTTGTTTGCGTGCCTTGGGCCAGCTTTCAGTTTGTACTGAAACCGATACCTTGAATCCAAGTGATGCTGTTGGAAACCCAACAGTGCAACTGTGGATTTTTTAGTCCGCTGGGGGCTCTGGCAAATGGCAAGTACGAAATAGATGATGTAGTGATCCAGTGAACTGTGGACACAGAGTAGAAGGATGAAAATGCTGATGGTGGGTCCATATGCGATCTCAGTCTGTGCCTTACACTGACTGGCTCCGTAAGGGTGAGCTGTAAGAAGGGTTTAGTGGGTGAGGATTTAGCGAGCAGTGTCAGGTGCACTCGGTGCCGGGGGTCGGTGGCGCTGCTGGGGTCTGTGTGAGTGCCGGGGGTCACTGCCGGTCCCTGTGGGTCCCAGTAGGTCCCGCTATGTCCCGGTGAGTCCCGCCGTGTCCCGGTGTGTCCCGGTGTGTCCCGCTGTGTCCCGCTGTGTCCCGCTGTGTCGCTGTTCTCTCCCCGTCCCTCAGCGCTTCCCCCTCAGCCTCTCCGGGCGCGCCCCCTGGCGGCGGCGGCGGCGCGCGGCGCGCGCGGGCGGTCACGTGAGCGCGCTCGGGGCCTGGTGCCGCTTCCCCCAGTCAGCGCGAGCGGCCGAGGCGCAGGCGGGGAAACAAGATGGCGGCCGGCGGCGATCCGGAGCGGGGCGCCGGCGATTCGCGCTGAGCCGCGGCCCTCCCGGCCCGGCCCCCCCCCGGCCCGGCCCCGCGCCCGAGCGGGGCGCCGAGCCCTCCCCGTAGCCGCCTGTCCGGACTTCCGAGCGCCCTCCCGAGCCGCCCTTTCCACCCCCAACCCCCCCCCCCCCCCCCCCCCCCCCCCCCCCCCCCCCCCCCCCCCCCCCCCCCCCCCCCCCCCCCCCCTCCGCCGCCTCCCTTCCCCCTTCCCTCGGCCAGCGCCCAGCGATGCGGGGCCGGCGCGGGAGGCCGCCCAAGCAGCAGCAGCCGGCGGCGGCCGCCGCTCCGGCGAGCGCCCCGGCCCCGGCGGGCCCCATCGGCGGGCTGCGCTCCCGGCAGCGCGGCAGCAGCCGCGGCAGGTGGGCGGCCGCGGCCCAGGCGGAGACGGCGGGGCCCAAGCAGAAGGGAGCCGGCGCTGCCCAGGCCTCGCCGCCCGCCGCCGCCGCCTCGCCCAGGGGGGGCGGCAAGAGGAAGGCGGGCGGCGGCGGCGGCACCCCCGGTGGGGGAGGCAGCGGCGGTAAGGGCAGGGGCAGGGCCGGGGCGGCAGGAGCAGGGGGAGGAGGAGGAGGCGCAGGAGGCAGCTGCAACAGCCAAGGCAGGGCTGCCTCGTCCAGGAGGAGCATCAGCAAAGTGGTGTACGACGATCATGAGAGCGAGGAGGAGGAGGAGAGCATGGTGTCCGAGGAGGAGGAGGAGGGAGACCCCGAGGATAACCAGGACTCCGAGGAGGAAGAGGAGGAGGAGATAATGGAGGAGGAGGACGACGACGACTCCGACTACCCCGAGGAGATGGAGGATGAGGACGACGCCAGTTATTGCACTGAGAGCAGCTTCAGGAGCCACAGCACCTACAGCAGCACCCCAGGTAGAGAGCCCGTGGGCGAACTCAAACAAGTCGAGGGGTCCCCCGCACGCTCCCTCTGGGTTTGCTAATCCAGTCCGCGCTCCCAGGCGCGGTGTGAGGGATCTCTGCAAGCACTCCCGGGGACAGGGGGGTGCAGATAACCACTGGCAACCCCACGGATGCGGGAGCATCAGAAGATGCTCGCAAACACACGCATCGAGAGGAGGGAGGAGGGCGGGCAGGACTGGCTGTAACAAGGGGGATGCTTTGCAAGTAACGCGCGTGGATTGTGGTGCCTGCAGAAATGACCCACCAGAACGTGTTGCAGGCGATGTCAGAAGTGCGTGGAGCGTTTCACTTTAAATTTAAAAGCAGGGGAAGCGACAGGCACGCCTTGCAAAGAGGTCCTTTCAATTAAACACAGGAAGAGATGGCTTATGCTTGCAAATGTAACTTGATGTTGAAAGGAAAGGAGGCACATGCAACTTGGAAGTGGCCTAAAAAAAAAACCAACAAAAACACCAAAAAACGAAAACCCCAGAAACACTGACAATTTTCAGGCTCTTGGAATCAGAGCTATAACTGGATCCAGCATTTACTGGCTTTAAGACAAAAGTAGCTTTCCAAGGAGGGAAATGAGGTGCATTGTTCAAAATGGAGATTGCATTGTTATAGTTTAGGGAAAAGTGCACAGGGCCTCATTGCAAGGGTGTAAACCTTGTCTTAGTTAAGCACTAAGATTAAAAGGTGGAGGTCGAGTCAAAAGTCTTGGGTTTAAATGCTGCGTTTATCTTAAGATACAGCAACCTTTAAAACTTGTGCTGGGGTTACAACTCGTTAAACATCATTGTGGTTATTTTTTCTTTTTTTTTTTTTTCATTCTAGTGGCAAATTTGGGCACAGTTTTTTAAGGCCTGCTCTTCTGTGTGTCCTTAATTGGTTCATTAACCGTGTAGGTTTCAAGCTTCCAAAATTCTTTTATTTAAACTTAAGCACTTTGGCTTTTTTGGAACTTGTTCTAGAATGGAGTTCAAGCTTAGATTCTTTGATTTTTTTTTCATTTTTTTTAAAAAGTCTCTGAACCAGTAGAGGAGTTAAGCACCTGTGGTGAGTTGGGCTCCAGAACAGCAGACACTGCTGGTGAAGGAGTGTTTGACCAGTTTGTAAGGGGGAAGGAACAGGTTGTTGGTGTAAATGCATTGCATCTTAATTGAAAACAGGAATGTAGTTTCGAGTAGTTATGTGATGACTTCTTAAAAGGGAGGAAGTGGAGGCTGCTAAATGTGTCATTTGTTTTTATTTTGGTGAGTTCAGGCTATCAGCTCATTCTGTGACTTCATAATAGTCCTTTAAAAGGCTTTGTGTGCTTGTCTGTATATTTTTTAACCTGTATCCATATGCTCAGGAATGTAAATGAATCCAGCTAAATACACGCCTTGCTAAATGAATTTAATTTGGAGATAATTTTTAAGAAGTTAGTTTACCTGTTGCAGGGATGTCCTGCAATCAAATTGAAATTTCTGGAATAATTTTTTGGCTTTAAAGCTTGAGGTCTGGCTTCACAGTAGAAAAAAGCTTTAAAGCACTCTCTTGACTTTTAACTCTTCATTTTCTGCTTAGTTGTGGCAACTTTAATTTTTATTACTTTTTTTGGTTGTGCTCATGTCAGGGAAATAATAAA